AACACCACTAAACTACAAGCTGGCACAGTACGTGTCACAGACAGACAGCTCCTACACATGTGGAATCTGGCTCTACTGCAAGCACCTGCTCTCAGGACTGGTCAGCATGTATTTATGGGTCACTCACTGTGTGTGAGGAGCAGGCTGGTGCCACAGTGTGCAGGAGGTTTGAGCCACTGTCCCCATCCTGCACACACAGAGGAGACAAATCCCTGTAGGTCCAGGGAGCTGAGGCTGGAAGCCAATGGGCAGGAGGAGCAAGATTCGGGGAAGGGCTTGGGGAGAGGCCAACCTGTGGGGTGGCACTTGAGCCTGGCTGGTGGGGGGCAGGGCTTTGAAAGCAGTCTAGCAGCTAGCGAGAATATTTTGGTGGGCAGAAGAGGGGAAAGGATGGCGTTCTTTCTTTCTTTATATTAAATCAGTGGTTATAGAGATACTTTTCATAGAATTTTTTACATTTGAACCAATTAGACCCTTTCAGTGATCTAGGAGGGAGCTACAATTACAATCCCAGTTCTGTAGGTGAGGAAAACTCAGGCAAAGACGGGGAAATAACTTGCCTGAGGTCATGGCTACTGTCTGACCCGTCCCCAGGATTCAGCTCTTCCAGTCGGGAGGAGGACAAGCTTCTATTGCTTCCCTGCCTCTCATCGCATGTCTCTCCTGAGCCCTCCTACCACCCGGCCACTGCGGAGGGGAGGGGACAGGAGCAGATCAGAGCTGGAGTATGTTCAAGGCTGGCAGGCATGACTCCGGCATGCTGCCTTTGAAGCCCAGATCTAATGCTTCACAGAGATGCCCATTCACACTCGAAGAGTAGCAATGAAGGGCTGTTTTGTTTGGGTTCCTCTGCTTGGTTTTGGTGGTACTGGGGACTAGACTCTGGGCCTTTACACAGAGCTATGCCCTCAGCCCTTTTATTTTATTTATATATTTTTGAGACAGGGTCTCCCTGAGCCACTAAGTTGTCTAGGTTGGTCTTGAACTCATGATCTTGAGACTACTGAGACTACAGGCATGTACCACCGTGCCTTGTGGTGCCCAGGGATTCAGAGTTAGGTAGATCTAGGACCTAGCTCTGGCCCTAGGTGAGTTACTCTGCCATTCAGAGTTAGTGTCCTCAAGTGTAACAGGATACACAACTCCCAGGCGCTGAGTGCTGTGTGCCGGGTAGCAGAGATGGTTTGCATAAAGTGCATATCACCGTGCCTCCTGCGGTTGGTGTCGACATTATTAGCTTACCTTCTCCTCTTAAGTGATTTAATGTAAATGTATTGTGGCCCAAATACCATCTGGTGCCTTCTTGCCTCCTTGACATCAGCATTATAAATGGCTCAGTTCCTTGCCAATTCCATAGTCCGAGAAAAGCAAAGCCCTCTCCTTGATTTTTACTAATTCCTGTAGATTCATGCCCTGACCCCTGCATTCCCACAAAGACTGTTTCACGCAACATCCATTTAGATGTAAAACTCACCAACTTTGCTAGGTGGCATAAAACAGCCACTTGCAGGAGGCAGATTCATGAACTGAGTGTGGCCTGACTGCCAGCTGGCAGCGTGAGGGCCCGCGGTGCCCCTGTGACCTCGGGGTGCTCGAGTGTTAGCCTGCATCAGCCATCACCTGGAAAGCCTGTTAAAATAGGTACTGTCTTTCTGGTCTAGTAGATCTGGGTGAACCCAAGTATCTGTATTTCTGCCAGTTCCCAGGTGATTCTAGCTCTGCTGGGGTCGGAGACGGACTTTGAGATCTGCTGTTTTAACCTTTCTGCTTGTCTCTGCCCTCCAGTTCCCTCCACTGGAGTCCCCAAGTCAGCTCTGCTTTTATACCAGACTCTTGCCAACTGCTATTTGCCCAGATCAATCGTGGGCTCTTTGTGTTTATAGGACTCTGCCTTTGAGAGGACAGCTGGGATCTTAAAAATCCGTAAGGTATAACTTCATCTCTGTGTTTCGGGATCTCCCCTGGCCATGGCTGTCTTCACTGCCTCGCCTAGGGTGGGGACGGTGAGTCGGGATTCAGAGTCACGGTGTGGACCCCGACCTGGGAGGAGTCCTGGTCTATACAATGCCACGCTTCTCTGCAGTGAGGTCTGGGATAATCAGCAGTAGGTTCTGGGGATGGGTTGGGACTGGGGCTGGGGGCTGGGCTGCCGGGCCGCAGCTGTGGCTCCAAATTGCTGTGAGGCCCACTGCCTGGTCCATGCTCCAGCAGGGACTGACATCAAACAAATGGGCTCTGATGCATTAAGTGGGGAGGAGGTGAGTGGAATGGCCCCCATGCCCCGCCACCGCATATAATGCAGGAAAGCAAGGCTGCCCTGATGAGGGGGGCTCTAATGAAGTCCCCATCCCAGCCCTTTGGGGACAGCTGGGCAGAGCTGGTACAGCCTTCGCTCTTAATAAAGATTGGAAGATGACTTGTCCCCTCCCCACTGGGTCTGTTAATCCAGCTCCAAGCTGGAGATTAGCATTTCTAATGGGCTGGGAGGCACAGCCTTCAGGAGACAGGGATGAGGGATGACAGATATTCTGGGGGTCCCTGGGGCCCTGAAGAGAGTGGTTGCTTTGTTTGGCCTCAGTTGAACTGAGGTGAGCTTTCTCCAAACAAGATCCACTTCATTTCCACTCTGTCCCCTTTGTGGAGGCTCTTGTTCTAAAACTTTTGTTCACTGAACCGCAAAATGTCATATACCTCCTAAATATCCAAATATCCAATAGCCACAGAGGATGGTACAAAGAACTTGTGTTCATTCAACTACTTCTTTCACAGGAATGACTGCTTCATTCACTCACTTTGTAGCATTTGCTGCGTGTGAGGCATTGGGTTGTGGAAGCAGAGCTGAAAAAAATATTTCCAGTACTCGGGATATTCGAAATTTAGTGAAAGAAACAGATCATAGGTATCATATGCCAAACTCTATGATAAACTCTAGACCATCTAAATCAGATCACAAAGGTATGAGGACACAGGGGTGTCAGAGAAGCCCTCCTGAGACAGTGTCATCTGAACTGATTGTTAAAGGGCATCAAGTCAGATGAGTTACACACTTGTAGTTCCAGCTACCTGGGAGACTGGGACACACCCAGGAGCTTGAGGCGAGCCTGGGCAACGTAGTGAGACCCTGTCTCAGCAGAGCAGAGCAGAGCAACCCAGACAGAGGTGTGAACCAACACACAGGCCACAGCCTGCTTCAGTGAGTCTGGGAGGGGTAGCCTACATGGAGGGGCTTGGAACTGAAACGAGGAAGAGTCTGAAATCAGTGTTGCAAACTGTATGAGCATCAACTCCAGTAATTAAGAAGCTTCCAGGAGATGGGGTGTGGGAGGTGAGGGGTCCAAGCAGACCAAACTTTGTTTACTGAACCCACATTTATTGAGTCCTTTGCCCAGGACAAGCTTACATGACTTTTCCTTCCCTGTCTCCCAGGGCAGACTGAGCTTCCGGAGGACTGGACCACTCTCCCATTTATCCTGCACCTTCAGCTGGCCCTGGGTGGGTGATTGGTACATGTTTTTGAACTGATTGTCAGCCTGAGATGCACAAGGAGTTTCTGCCTTTCAAGGGGCATTGGAGATGACTAGAATTTAAGGTACAGAGAGTAGGGAGGGTTGACAAATGGGGAGGGTCATGGCACCGAAAGTTTAACATGCCTAACCAAGGAGTTCAACTTTTATCCTATTGGAGGGGGCGAAGGGAACAATGTGACTGTATTCTAGAAGATCTTTGTGGCTACGGTTTCATGAGAAGGAAGAGGAGGCAGGGACACTGTCACTAAGAAGAGACTGTGCAAATGAACAGGATTTCAAGCCCAACCCGTGAGCTTGAGAGGGATGAGAAAGGCTGTTTCTCATATTCCAGGGAGTGAACAGAGGTTCCCAGGGGGGCTGTGGGACACCCCATGAGTACCAACAGTTCAGCAGAACCCAGACCTGGACACAAAGACCTGGATTCTCACTTGAATCTCATGAAAACATAACTCCTTGAGCCAAGGATGTGTCTTGAGGACTTTTGAAAGCTGAGGAAACACAGAGTCGGAGCGTTACTAGGTGATTCTTTATCCAAGAGCGTTGGGTCTGCATTTCTGGAGGAGTCCTTTTGTCCTGACTGGCCATTACTGCCTAGGCCCTGCCTTCTTTGCAACCCCCATAACCTTGAACACTGCGAGGGAGGTGACAGCACCTGGAGTTCCTCAGCGATGATCCCGCCTGAGTGATGCCCTTGGACCACTCCTCAGTGAGACACAGCACGATGACAAGCCAAAATGTCAAGAAAGGAGGCAGGCAGAAGCTGAGGACCCTCCCTTCCTCACAGCCCTGTGGCTGCCTTCATGGTCTGATGGTTGACTGAGATTTTTTGAGTCTATGAAAAGAGATTTTGGTTTGTAGTAAGCAGTTGTGCTCAGTCTTTCAAAAATATTAAATGTAATCTGAGCAACTATTTTGAAGATGACATTATGCAATATAACAATTATTGTTAAATTCCTATAATTTTGAGATCCTATATCATTAGTTTTGTTGTCATTTTGTTGTTGTTTCTTGCTTGTTTGCTTTTTGATTTTTCTGTGTTTTCTTCTCAAAATAAATAAATAAATACATGCAACGGACAATCTAAAAAAATACTAAAATGTCTGTTCTGTGTCAGGAAAATGCTGGGTAGACCCTAGTGCTCTTCTCCCCTGAACAGCAAGGGGTGTAAAGAGGAGAGGCCAGTGTTGTGCACTGTCTCACCCTCTCCCAGCTGCCCCAGCGTGGCATTTTGGAAATAGTGTGCGAATTAGGGTGTGTCTCCCTGACTGTACACATTCCTATACCAGTCACTCTATGTTTAAGACATAAATTGTGCAAATGGGTTTTCCAAAACAAGACCAGCTTCTAGAGTGGGGCTAGTACTGTGGAACAGTGCCCTGCTTGACATGTATGAAAGCTCCTTTGGTTTACTTCTATCATAAACTCCTTGACACTCTCTACCCAAAGAAGACGAACAACTCATATGGCTAGGGATCCATTTTGAACAACTTTTATTATACGTTTAGTGTTTTCTATACAAAAGAAATCAGTTTTTTTACAGTGATTCAAAAAAAATTCTGAATAATTTGGCCTTTTCATTGTTCATGCAGTCAGTTTATAAGTCCATGTATTAGATGGTCCTCCACGGCCCAGAAGTCTTCCCTGCTGAAGGTCATGTGTGACACCCTCAGATAATGCATCTGTCGCCAACAAAATTGGTTAATGCAAGGTCACTCGTAAAGAGGAAAGAATGTGATGTGAGAGGGGTTAAAACAAGTTGTACCATGAGAGTTACATGTTTAACCAACAGAAAAAAGATCAGACCAATGTGTGGGTGGGTGGGAATGTGGGAGAGTATAGACACACAGGGAAAAAATTTTCCCCACTGAAAAGAACACATGGGGGTGGTGGGCACAGAGCAGGAGGTCCTCCAGGGTCCAGCACGGTTGGGGGTGGGACCAGGAAGGAAGGTGGCCGTGTAACAGGCGACTGATGCTCAGCTCGAAAGGAGCAAGAGGTTGGCAAAGAGCTGGGGAGCCAGGCAGAGGGACAACACTGACTGAGGGCATTGCATTTGGGAATCCAAAAAAGAGCGCAGGTCAGGGTCATCTGAACTGCATCGTATTTGCAAAAGAAACACAGTAGTGCACAAAATTCTGGATCACTTCTCCCAGATTTTTGTGTTTATTGCTTCACTGCAGTCTTTACATCTGTTGAAGTCCAGCCCAGCAAATGCCAGGGTGGCAGGTTTGCTGAGTCCCACTGCCTCTTCACCCCACGGCCAAGGGCAGAATGGACAGAGAACTCCACTTCCAAGGGATACAGTGTGCTCAGGGCATGATGTGTGACACACCAAGAGACCCCATTCTGTCCAGGTTTCACAATCATGAACTCATTCTAGGCTACTGGCTTGGGGGCTGCCCATAACTGCATGGCTGGGTTAAAGACCGGTGTTACACAATGACTGATCTCAGACTCAGAAAAATCCTTTTTCTCTCTCATTTGGGAGCTTCTGGGTGATGCGGAGAAATGGTAGAGAGGTTCCACAGGGTGGAACCCAGGACAGTGATACCTGTCTCCAAAGAGGCAGCTGAGGGGAGGTGAACGGCACGGGGCAAGGAACCAGAAAGCCCAAGGTCAAGGCCCGGTCCTACCTCGACTCACCAGCTCGGCCTCTTGTGCCCACCCCGTTACCCCTGCATTTTCATTTCCTCGTCTGCACGAGTCACTTCAATTAGCTCAGCACTGAGATTCCCTCACAGGCTGAAATCTGAATCTGTCCTAGGCTAGATGTTTCATTTCTATTCTATCATCATGGAACATCCATTTAATACTAACGGATGGATAAAAGAAGCCCTGGCTTCGGGCGAGGCTGGGGACACTGTTACGTGGGTGATGTGCCTCCTTCCCTGGGTTCTCTCCTGAAGGTGTCACAGGAAGGTCATTTCTTAGTAGAGGAGGAAAAGAAAGGGCACCTCCTTCCCTGGGTTGTCCAGGGTGGGGGCAACCACAATCTTGGCCTGACTCACATGGGGTAGCCTCATCTAGATTAAGGGAAAGGGCTGTCCAGGAGTTTAGCTCTGCCCAGTTGGCCTGTGCCTCAGAGCACATGGAACCTGCTCCTGTCACTTCAAGTTCTTTGCTTCCCTGGCTCCAGTCCTATTTTTCTTTTTTGAGTCAGAGACCTCTTACATGCTGCTCTTAAGCCACCATGCAAAGCTCATGCAGGGTCCTTGGCTTCACTAAATCAAAATCACCCTGTGTGCCAAACTGGGTGAACCTCACCACACTGTGGGCTTGTGTTTGGTAGAGACTGGTTACACTGGTGACCACCCCAAGATGTCATGGTTGGAGACTGGGAATCTGGCATTCTGGGAACCTGCTGACCACTGAGCCCCAGACCCTCAGAAGGCTGACAATCTTGACCTCTTTCCAGTGTCAGCAAAGCAGCCCCACAAAGGCTGAGAAAAAAGTGTCCCTGCTGCTTCCCTCAACGGGCAGTTAGAGATATTCTAAGACTCAGTACAATGTTCCAGGAGGAACCACAAAGAGCTGCTGCCTGTGCCACTTTTAGGGAGCATTTCCTGCTCCCTCAGATTGCTCTTCCCCTCTAGGCTCTGCCACAGGAATCACCCCACCAGGGTCCATTCCTCGTGGCCTCTCCTCTTCCCCAAACTGTGCATCATGCCCCCACACAGTCCTTGACATTACATCTCTTGAGCCCAGATATGGACTCACTCTTTGCAAGATGCTGTCTTGCTGTCTGGACTGATCCCGGCTACAAGCATAGTACTGCAAAGGCTAGTCTGCTGCATGCACATGTATGTGCACACATGGGTGCTACACATGGCAGGGAGCCTGTTCCTAAGGTGGAAACCCACACTCACTGTGGCTGACTGTGATCAGGGATACTGGGAATGCCCTCCCTGGGTCCGAGCTGATCTACCTTGCTGGGGAATAAGGCGAGTACCACACTGCTCTCAGCTGTGTGGTCACTTTTCCAGACTTCAGGACTTCCCAGGCAGGGGATGGACCAGATGCCTCCAACCTCTCAGGTAGCGGAGATGGACAAGGGAGGAGGATGGTCTGGTTCTCCCTTTACTTTAAAGCCGGTCACCTCCATAATAGCAAGGAAGGGAAGGGTAAGTCTTTGTAAAGAGGGGGACAACTTGTTCTAACCTGGCTTCCCTGCTCTTCAGGTGGCCCATGCCCTTTGTGCAGGGAAGTATTCAAAGGAGGGTCTGAATGGGCACCAGAACACAGAGAGATTAAGCAGCTTGCCCCAGGGGGTAGGACTGTTCCTCAACTTGCCAGCAAGGTCATGACTTCTGGTCCTGCCCAGAGTTGCTGAGCAGATGGACCACACTCTCGCTGGGAAGCCTCTTCCTTCTGGCCTGGAGTCATCAGTAGCTCAAACAACAGAGCACAGAATGCTCCCAACTCAATGGCCCCTGTGGCCCAGAGTCAGTGACAGTAATGTCATCTCTACATGGGCAGGGACCGTATCAGACCTTGGTCACCAAAGTATTCAGGCAACAGGCCTCAGCCCAGACTAGATGCTCACCGAGTATTTGACGGATGGATGGATGAGAGTGCAGGCAGCTACCAGGCTTAGGGCTGAGCACATTGGTGGCATGGCGGCCTTGAGTCACTGTAGAGTGACTTACAGCTTTTCCCCTACACCCAGCCAGACAGGCCAAAGCACCAATGGTACTGCCCACTCCTGACATTGTTGGTAATGTTTGGGGGTATTTTCTTGAGAGACCCAGCTGGCAGGGAGTGCTGGGCAATACTGGTGTCCTGCTGAGCTGTGGTGGACTCAGAAAATGCCTCCTCTTTTCCTCAGTCCCACAACCTTATACCTCAGAATCTGATCCCTCTGAGAATCTGCCATCTTTGCTTGGGGAAAGGCCCAGATTTGCTCTTGCCTGGGGGACTGTGATCATGTGGTGATGGGGGGTAGCTGTTAGCTCACACAAAACACTCCGTGAGAAGACGGTATAGCTCATGGCAGGACTCTGAGATGGGATGCAAAGACAACCCGAGAACTCACCTCTCCCCCACACCCTCAAGGCAGAGCCCTTCCAATTATCAGTCTACCTGGCAGACTTTCCTGAGATGAAGGGGTAGAGATACAATGACATCTAACGTCCCTTCCTACCCTGGGAGGCTGCTCTCAGTGCCACAGGCTCACCAGCATGGACATTGCAGTGCAGAATGAGGACCTGAGAAACTGTCCAACTTGCTCAGGTCCAAAGCATTTTCTGGGAAGCCAGGCCCTTTAATTCAGCTCACAGGCACACCTCCCTGACACTCCCATCAGGTACATGGGCCGAAGCTACAGGAATGCCTACCTGCATCCCTGCAAGTGTGGGAAGAGAGCAAAAGGGTGGGGGACCCTGAGCTTACTCCCCAGCTCCCTCTTTACCCTGTCCCTTTTCATCATGAGAGAGCTGTCCCTCGACCTCCTAGGCAGCACACCTGGGCCACGTCTTGGGCCAAGGAACCATTACACACCCCTGGGTTCAAGCAACATTACTGGCTCAGCTTCGGCCTATGATTTCTTACCTGCAGACAGTGTGTGTGTGTCTATGGGCTTGACCTTCAACTGAATGATTATTAAGTGATGCAAGCATTGCTAATACCTCTGTGGCTTAAAACATGTGGCAAATGATGGTTCAATAAAGTCTCTGAAGGACATAGCCCTGGTCCTGCCCAAGAGGCTCATATCAGTGGCAGGTGACCCATACTTGGGGATGAGCCTAACCCTTCTGAAACTGACTCCAGCCACAGGAGCAGCTGCAGGGGAGTACTCGGGCTCAAGCTCTTCCCCTCTGCACATCACTGAGGCTAGGTACCTTTGGTTTCACAAACGGATTAGGTGGGAAGGATGAAGGCAGCACCTTCGCTCTGAGAACTGCAGATCAGCAAGTGTCTCCGATTGGAAAATGGTGAGGAGATGCGTGGAGTGGCTGCTTCTGGTCTTGCAGGGACACTTGCATAGGCTGCCCTGATCCTGAGACAGACATCACTGGAGGCTTCAAGGCTTGCAGGGATGGGCTGGGGACCTGGGAACTCCAGGGACAGATCAGAGCTGCATAAGGCATATGAAGAGCATCAAGTCTTCCCCAGGCGGGGCGTCACAGCACTGTTAGTATGGTGTCACCTCAAGGTCCTCCTATAGGTGTATACCCTAAAAAAGGATAGACAGGGGCAGCAGTCCCCATCTACACACAAAATCAAGCACAAGTTTCCATATCACACAGAACTGACAGAGGGGAAGTAACTACCAGGGACGGCACAGAAGCAGTGCTTCACCGCCCCTAACGCACCAGCCAGGCTTCTGCACGCAGGGCTCTATCTCCCTGAGGGTGGCAGCACAGACCCCAGCCAGGTGCCCCTATTCCAAACACAGCAGGTGTGGTCCTCTTTCCTGCATCCCAAGTGTCACTGATGTCCAAACCCGGCCCTTCGCTTCCCTCTAGAGACACACAGTTCCCGAGGGACCTGGCTCCTGACTTCTTCTGCTTGAGGTCCAGTCACCGCAGTCCTGCCCGTCGGTACCTACTCTGAGCCCCCAACTTTGCCTTCGAGAGTCAGTGCAGCTCATTCTCCGACACTCCAGAGGCAGGCTGGGGGAAGAGTGAGGAGCAAGAGGTAAACTCGCTAGCTGAACCAGAGAGAGGCAAGGAGGCCTGCCATCCTCTCCCTGCCCAAATACTGTCACTTTCCAGAAAGAAGCCAAGCCCAGCTCAGCAGCCGACAAGGCCGCGGCAGATGGGCTGGGAGCACGGGGAGGCATATGGAGAGAAAGGCATCCTTCGGAAACACGTTGGCCCGGCGGTGGTTGAATACTACAGCTTTTCTCTCTGTCCTGATTCGGATCATTCCTTTGTCTGTCCTTGTGGTTTCTTGGGGAGAAGCCACCTATCTTTTCTTTTCCAGGGACACTTCTTACACAACAGAGAAAGAAAGAGGGGAGACACTGGGTCTGCAGGGAAAGATGCACAAAGGAAACAATGGAGAGAATGGAAAGTACCATAACCGACAGAAACGGGAGCGTGTGTGCCTGGGGGGGCAGTGTGGTGGGGCACGGCGAGGTCGGGTTCCCTCCAGCGAGCACTGCCATGGCTCAGGCTCTCCCATACTGGCGGCACACAGCGGGGTGGGGCTCAATGGGAGGGGGCCTGTGGGTAGCTGGGTGGTCGCTGGTCCTCATGGTGTGGCAGACCTCCGTATTGTACCCTTGTCCCTGAAGGTGGTGGCGGCTTTGTGGTAGGTCTGCAGTGGCTTCATCTCCCTCTCTGCCCTCCTCCCACTTGCAAAGTAGTGGCTGTGCCTGGCGGCCTACATTAGGCCAGAGAGTAGATGGCATTGACGGGTGACGTGGCCTCTGAGCTCTCGTTGCCCTCTGTTTCCTCCTTGTCCTTTTTCACTGTGTACTGGCCAATGAAGGAGCCATCCTCGTTGAACTGACCCTCCCCACCTTCGCCGTAGTCCACCAGGCTGTCATCACTCTCCTGCTGCTTGATGGTGCCGTCCAGAGACGTCTGGCTGCCCTGCAGGGGCTTGTTGTCCTCATCACTGGCCAAAGAGAAAGACAGAGGATCAGGGCCCTGCCCCTGCCGGCTGGCTTCTCACTCACTATACATCGGCCCTGCACAGCTCTGAGGATGTGGACCTTCGGGTCACCCAGTTCTTACCCCACTAGTGCAGTAGCCTCCACTAAAGGAAATCTGACCCAGGGAGGACAGATGTCTCCTCTGAGGGGTTGTTTCCATGACACAGGGCCACTGTGCAGGAGGAGCGGCACAGCTTGTCATGTGGGGTGGCAAGAGTCAGGACAGGGAGTTCTGGCCCTGACTCTGTCACCCTGTGGCCATAGCCTGTCCAGGGAAGGTGGGAACAGACCACTCCCCTCCGCACCACTTCCGTCTCAGTGCTGGCTCAAGGATGTGCAGTTTATCTGCAAACAGCTGCTACTGCTTGGGATCCAGCAAGTAAAAGGTGGGGTGGCATGAGGGAAGGGCATACAGAGGAGCACAAAAGGCCAGCGCAATCGAGAAGACAGCAGCAAGGCCTGGAGAACCCCACCAGCCCCCTTGGAGGGGGACAGCTGGCTGTGTCTGCTGCCCTGTCTGGGTATCTGCTGTGCTCCCAAGGCCCCGCAAAGGCCCCGCATCCCTCCCTGGCTGGAAAACTCTCTTTGCCCTTTAGGCTCAGAGGGGGGACCAGGTGCTGTTGGCTGCACTTCAGAGGTGAGATGGCGCCCAGGCAGGAGACCGTTGTGCGCCAGCAGTGGGGGACTGGGGCCCGGGAGGTGGGCCACAAAGATTCTTACTGTCTAAGCAGACACGTGACACTGCTCCCCACCCTTGAACCGCTCCCAGCCATCTCAGTGCCTCCTAGGTGTGGGGAAAATGCCCAGCTGAGCTGCCAGTGCTGCAGGCAGCACCTTCTAAGAGCAGTGGTGGGCAGACAGCTGCTGGGGAGGCCCTACATGAGTGAGCATTAGTAGATGGAAAGCCATTTGCCTCCACCCTTACAGCTGAATACTGATGTCAGTGTTTGGGAGGACAGTGGCAGAGAGGCCAGCGGGTCTCCAGGTTGCTCAGAGTTTGTGCCGGAAGTGGAACTCTCTTTGAGAACCACCAGATGCTCACTGCTGGACCCCCCCACCCTATCTGCATATCTTCTTTCTACTGTACCCTTCCTGGGGTACTGCAGGGCATGAGGCCTGTGTTAAGTGGCTTGCAGAGATTCTTGTCTGGTTCCAGGCACCTCAGCTATCTGCAACCACGGACAGAGATACCAGCAGCAGAACAGAGGTCTTTAGTAGGCCAGGCTCTTAGTTTTGGAAGAAGAGACCTCTCTTGAGGAGGCCTGAATGAAAGGGTGGCCTGGTCAGCTCAGCCTCCCAGAAACCTCGAAGGTCTAGGAGGACAGACATGAGACAGAGGGGTACAGCCCCATTAGAAAGCTGCACCAACTCCCTCTTCCTCCCAGGAAGTTTAGTTCTTCCTCTTCCTTAATCATTTCAGTCTTTTCTCAGCTTAGAACTCTTGCATGCAGCAAATGGGGGCTCGGATGGCTGTTGCGCAAAAATGCATGTGGTGCCCACATGTGCATGCTCCCGTGTGTGCCTCAGTGGGGCAGGGATGTTGTTTTTGTTTAACAAAGGGCAGTGCATGAGGGGGTAGCTTCTTCCAGTGCAGGTTGCTGAGCCTGTCCTTACCTCTCTACTCTGGCTGCATCGAGGGTCTGGGGGCAAGAAAGGCTCATGGCCTCTGGAAATGAAGGCCAGGGCCAGGCTCTTAGCCTGTAGGAAGTGGGGCCTTGCCAGGACTACTGAGGACAGCCAGAGAAGAGGGAGGGACCTCTCGTGCTGGCCCTCTTTGGAGGTTCATGGGGATACTGCAGCTAGCTGGCTGAGGACGGTACAGAAGCTGCCAGGTGGACAGCAGCTCCCCACACCCCAACATCGATCTGATATTGCTTGCTAGGCTGTTTACGGGCAGTATGGTAGAAGCCCAGAAAGGAACAGGAGAGGTCAGAGGAGGACAGGGGTGGCCTGGGCCTGGATAGTAATCAGGCGGGAGTGGAGAAGGAGGGATCTGACCAGGCATTTCCTCCCTCTTGATTTGGAGTGAGGGTCTACTTGCCATCCAATGGACAGCTGACAGTGTTAAGTCCAGATGCAAGGGACCCGCACAGCTCTGAGTGGGGGCGCAGGAAGAGGACAGCAGCTGTAACCAGCAGTCAGTCCCAGTCCTCTCCAGCCCCACCACTAGGTCACTGGGGGCTGGCATGGCAGTTTGGGCAAATGTCTTCTCAGGGTGCCTCTCCAAAGCCTGTTCTAGCAGACAGCCTGGAGCTACTGCCAGGTTCAGGAGGAGAGGACTTGGAATTCACATTTCCTTTCACTCCTTTGGGACAATGGCCTCTCTGGGTCACCCTCTTTGGGACTTGGGGTGGGTGCATGCAGACAGGAAGTCTGAAGCTGAGCTCACTGTGCAGTGAAAACATGGAAAGACACACACAGGAGCCCAGCACATTGGAGCTGTGCACCTGAGTGGATGAAGGGTCATGTGTTGAGGAGCTGGCATGATCAGGACACATGGCTGCTCTGAGCACATGCCCCTCTCTGAGGGAGAGGCAGAGGTGACATCCCAGTAGGCAAAGATATAGATGCAGAGGCCTTGTGGCTAGGCCAAGCTGCTTTGAGGTGAGGAGCTTGGGGCAGTGAGGACAGCTCACAGGGGAGAAGGCAGGTCACACACCTGTAGTCAAAGGAGCCATCCTCTTCCTTGGGGTCTTCCGGGCCCAGAGGAACATCCTTCTTTTCTCGAACTTGGTCATCAAGAAAGGCAGACACAAACATAATGATTAAGAAGCAGGCTCCTCTCCCCAGGGCTTTGCTGGGTGCAGCCCCAGAAGACACTGTCCTGGGTGCAGTGACACTCTTTTTAATACCCTGCCGTTGTGTCCCCTCTACTTTCTGTTTCCTGAGTTCAATCAGCTGCAAAGTTGATTCTGCCACTTCCTGTTCACTCCTGGGAGGCTTCTCACATCCCTGCAGACAACCTGCATCTCCTCCCACCCAGCTCCTCATTACTCCTTCCCGGAAAGTCTTCTCAAGGGAATGGATCCCTTCTTTTCCTTTGCCAAGGGCAATAATACTCCATGGTCCTCCCCCTCTCTTATTCTACTTGGTATTATAATTATTTGTGTACATTTCTTATGCCCGTAACAGAATGCTGGTTCTTTCCTCAAGAGTGGGGGCTGTGTTTCTTTAAAGCTCCTGGCACTCCACCCTGTTTAAGGAGGACACTCCTTACTCCTAGGAGATGAAATATCCTCCTACCTGTCCTCACTCTCTGGCTGCTCTCCTTCCTGGAACCTCCTCCCCTGCATCACACATCAGCCAGGGCCTGCTCGTGTGCTGTGCTGTGCCTCTGAGACCACTATGATGCTGAGGAGAGACATCTTTCCCTCTGCTATCCCTGGCACCTGGGCACTCTTTATGTGCCCTTCTTGAGGAACATGGCTAGATTATCACCCCTACTTTCAAGAAATGGAAACTGAAGTGAAGAATAGTCGTATCACTAATTAGTAGACCTCGGTGAAGCCCGGGGTCCAGGCCCTGTGGTTGCTGAGTTACTCATCTTCTCAGTACATGAGAGAGCTGCTCTGAAGCAGAAGGAGAGATGGGCAGTCTTGAAGAGCTTCCTGGGATGGGGCATTTTCTAAATGGGCAATGGCTCAGTTTATCTGGTGAATCCCTCAGGTATCCAGGTCCACCTGGGACAGGGAATAGCTCAGTGTGTCTGTCCAAGTTTTAATGTCAAACAAAAGGCTAGACTGCTCCCTAATTCTGGCTTTCTTGCATATGTAAGAAAAATAGACCCAAAGCAGAAAATCAAAGTGAAAGGAATCACCAGCAGTAAGAACTGCAGAGAGCTTCCTAACTTTGCTCTCTCAAGGCCCCAGGGTCTGTGGGTGCTTGGTGGGGGGAAGGAAATAGGAAAGGATCTCCCCTCCTCTCCTTTCTGTTTCCTCTCTGTTGAGGCTGGTACTGTTCAGAGTTGGGGAGCAGGAGCATCTGGGGAGCGTGCAGCATGTCTGGTGACGGGGCTCCAGGGCAGAGAGCAATTTCATTCTGCAGTTCAAGATTTTTGCTCTCAGAGTTATCCATTACCCTGTCTCCTGTCACCCTCCCCACCCATCATGGACAGATGGCTCTCTTGCCCATTTGGAAAATAATCAATATTTTCAGAAACAAGGCCAGAGGCCCTTGTCTCTGATCTTGGTTTGTCTGGGCTGGAGGATGTTGAAGAGATCAGAAGAGAAACACTTTTGCAGAAATTTAGGGGAGCCCAGAGCCTTTTAAGGGAGGAATAAGTGTGGCAGGTCCTCCATTCACGTGCCTGCAATTCCTCTTTGTCCCTCTCTCTGCAATCACTCTCCTGGGTGTGACGTTCTGTCCAGAACCCTCTTTTCCCCAGCCTTTCTGACTTGGTCAAAGAAAATTTTTCTCTGCCTTCCTCCTTCCCTGGGACTCAGGATCCTAATGAGATTTGAGCTAAAAAAAGCCAACTTACTAAGCAGATGGGTGGTGAGTCAAGGGCAGGGAAGGTCATTCTCAGTAGGAGTCAAGGTTCCTTCTATCCCCTCTGGAGCTGCCTGGACCAAGCCAGCTGCCCACCCCGGGCCAACTTAATTAACTCCAGGGCTTGCTGGCAGCTCTAAGGTGCACAGAGCAGGTGAGAGGACCATCACCATGCCAGGCCCCCAGCTCTGGCTGGGGACCTGCTGACTCACAGGAAGGATCGCTTGCTCGTGCTCACCTGGGTACTTGCCGCCTCTACTCCTCTTGATGAAGCAGACGATGAGCAGGATCAGCACCAGGAGCGCAATGGCACACATGAGCCCGATGAACCAGCCCTGGGTGGCGATGTCCGCGTGGTTGTTGGTGTAAGCTGGCAGGGAGGGCAGGAAGCAAAGCCATAAGTGGTGGCACGGGGAGGAGGCGAGGGGAGGAAAGAGGAGGAGCACAGCTGTTTCCTGTGGCTGCTTCTCCTGGAGCCTAACTCGGCCACCTAATAACTCTCTGGCCCCCAACTACTCCACTAAAGGGACAAAAAGAAAACTGTTAGAGAGCCAAGGTCAAAAGGTCAGAAAACAGGCAAAGAAAAGGGGCAGGGAGCAGAGAAGCAGCAGAAGGCCAGACAGGCTCTGCAGGCGGGAAGGTTCCTAAATGGAGGCACAGCATCCTTGAGAACCCCAGCTGGTCGCGTGGAGTGGGGCTGAGAGAAGGCCAGGGCTCCCCTGTGCAGTCCGATTCCCCTGCAGAGAGCCTGCACATTTTCTACCAGGGGAACAAAACTGTGGTCACCCCACGCACCTGCGTAAGGACACCCTGCAGGCCCATGCAGGCACAGAGTGGCGACCCTGCCCACCAGTGTGGCCCCAGAGCCATGGCAGCTTTGGCAGTGAGTCCTGGGTCAGGGGAGGTCTAGGGCGGCCTGTGCCTTTTTACACCTCCACGGCTGGATTGTGCACACTGTGGTAGCAAAGATGATCCAACTATGGGGGCCTCCTAGTCAGGTCAACCACAATGCCACATCCTTCCAGGTCACTTCCACCCAGGGAAGGGGCCCTGGTGGCCTGTGATAGGCCCACTTGCCTCCTCCCAGACCCTGGGACAGCAAGGTGCTCTTGGTTCATGCCTGGAGACCTGTCTCCAAGAGCACAGGGATGGGGAGGGACAGGCCAAGACTTTTGTACGGTGTCTCCAATGGCCCAGGGCTGGATTCGGGGCTGTCACAGAAACCAAGACCGAGGAGGGGCTGGACCTAGGGGACAGAACACAGCCAAAACAGCCCTGGGGCCGGCCCAGCCCTGAGCAGCCTTGGGAGGGCCAGACAACAGCAGGGCCTTGGGGGAGGAGCACAGGGACAGGTGGGGACAATCCCATCCTCCATCCTTCCTGGGAGCAGACACGGCAAAGACCCACAGGCATGCCCTTCCGTGCTGTCCAAGCTCTGTCTGCCCAGCGTAGCCTGGCCGTAAAGCGGTTGAGTCTGTAAGAACACGGCCTGTGGTTACCCTGAGTGACAGAAACTGTGGAGAGAGGTCCATCCCTGCTCTGCTTCCTAGTGGCAAGCCATCCCCAGATAGCATCGGAGGATCTTCTCCAAACCACATGCAGGAGTCAATCACTTCCTGCTTTCATCCTCAAGAGCTTCTCACTGCTGATGCAGAAAACTTGACCTCCCTCATTCTGAGGTGTCAGGCTCTGTGAGAGCTGGCCCTGGCTACCTCTCTAGTTCTCCATCTTACCTTCTGGTTACTATTCATGACCCAGTCACACTGGCCACTTGCATTTCTGCCTCAGGGCCTTTGTACTTTTCTGCATCTGCTGCCTTGGAAGCCCCTCAGAAATACTTTCCTGGACGTTCCCACACGTTACCTACGTCAGTCCTCACCACAACCCCATGAGACGCAGAGAAGCTGAGTGACTTTCCCCAGGTCACAGAGTGAGTAGATGTGACCACAGGCTGTGTGCTCCTCTCTGCTCAACGTCACCTGGACTCGGGCCAGCCGGCAGGTGAGTGCCTGTGCTGGGGTCAGTGTTCATTCCCAGGGCTGGAGCAGAGCTCACACCCACAGCTGGGAGGTGAGCCCAGGACTCCCTGTTCTTCCCCTTTCTTGGCAGCCTCCCTTAAACCCAGCCTGCCATCTCAGCCCTCAGGTTGGTGCCCCCCGTGGGTCTCCTGGTATGCCTGCACAGCAGGGCACTGTGGGAGGGAGACGCAGAGTGAGGCGGTACAGGTGTCCCCCTGCACATTCCTGCCACCAGCCATCTGTCACAGCCCCTCTAGCCAGGCCTGCAGCAGCCCACCCAGCACCGCCCCAGCCCCCGCACTTTCTGATTCCTTCCTTTCTGCACCTCTAAAGACCTCACTGTCCATGGGTGCTCTGCAGCCCCTGGCCATGCCCAGCCCCTGCAGTTGTCCCCGTCTGTGTGGGAAGACTCTCTCTTCTCTCCCTCCAAAGTGGTTCCTTCCATGTAAGTGGGCCCCAATTCACGCCTTCGTGGGTCTCTCATTCCTATAAGAAGCCCTGAACACCCCATCATGGTGCATTTCTTTCTCGCTGCTGTCTCCTGTTAAACACATTAGGTTCTGTAAAACAAAAATCCTCAGGGAGCCCCCCACCCCCACCCCAGCTCATGCACCAGGCAATGTCTTCACCTCTCTCGGCTCCAGGTTTCTCTCTGCCACATTTTGCTCCATCAAGTTGACTTCAAATCTCTCCACACCAAGTGCTTCAGCTATGGCCACTGCGTGGACCTGCCCCAAACCCACCTCTGTACCACCTCAGCCATGTGCTCCCGCCCTTTCCAGCCACTGATCCTTTCATTCACCTCTGCTGTTCCTGCACCGACTCTACAGTGGTGGCCCCAGCGCCGCCCCTGCTGGCTCTCTGCTTGAATCCAGCACGTGTGCCTTCCTTCTTCTGTGGCTTCCCCAGCTCCACAGCTCTGCCCGCGGCCTTGAGCTCTCCCTGTTTTTAGGGGCTGCTCTTGCTTCCTCCAAAACATCTCACCTTGGTGCTGTACTCTACAGGAGTCCTCTCAGCTCGTGCCTCCCAGTACCCACGGACAGTGAGACTTGTTACTGTGTCCCCAGCATCGTGCTGCCAAGTGCTGTCTGCAGACATCACCGATTTCTTTTTCTTGCCACACCAGGCTCTGATACTCAGCCTGGACTTCAGAGTACTCTGCAGGCTTTCAAACCGGGCACCTTTCCCATCCTACCTGAGCTAGCCTGGACCGCTGCCCTTCCCACTTATCACCTTCGTACACACCCCTGCACCCTCCCACTGCTCCAACTCACACCATCTCTGGACTCTGACTTCACTCCTGAATATTTCACAACAACGTAACACCGAGCTGTTCCGTTTCCAGGGTCCTGGTTCCCAAATGGATCTATGAGGTCTTGAAAACAGGGCATCTTTTTGAGGCTCCTAGAACTTAGTATGATGCTGGTCACACAGCAAATAGTTGAGATCAATTCAATCCTGATGTAATGTGGTTATCCTGGGATCCTGCCGTGGTATTTCCCTGATAACAGCTAGTGGTCACAGGAGTCAGATCCTGGCCTGTCCAGGCACTGGTGAGTGAATTACTTCCACTGTGTTTGGACAAGTGGTCCCTAATCTTTGCAGAAAAGAGTATGTACCCCCATTTCCTGGTGCTTCTTCTGACATTCCCCACAGCATTCGGTTTCTTTTGGGAAAGAAAGTCAGGCTTTCCTGGGAAAATGATCACATGAGACATTTACAAAGCACAAGTAGTTTTCCACTCTGACAGTACCAGATAAAATCCTTACTGAAAATGTCAAAGAATTTCCTGTGAAGTTTGGACACATAGGCTGTTTAAGAGCGAGTGGGATCTGGGGAATGTTGGGCTCAGCCACATCCCGTCAAAGCAACTTTGTTTTTCAGGAAGCAAAAGAAATTTAGGAGACAATCACCTCATTTATCACGTGACCCTCTGACCAGGAATCTGGGAGAAAGGCATTTTAGTGAGTCTCCAAGGCAAACGCACTGACTGCCAATGCCACACTCCATTGATCTGCTAGACTGGTTTCCAGATTCCTAGTGGGTCCAACGCTATGAACATTCAGTGATCAGGTGCATTTACCCTCACCATCTCCGGATGGAAGTGACAGCAGCCAGAGCAGCCTCCTGTTGGACACTAGGCCTGGCATGCTCAGGTCTGAATGCCTCTTGCATTGGACCAGAAGCCTTAGCACACACATCTCCATACCAAGGGCAGTCCCCCTGCCATGCTGACAGTTCCACCGACTCCTGTGACTAACTGGAAGAGTTCGGCTTGGCCACAGAAGACAGGCCTGTGGCTTAAAGTCAGCAGAACTACATTCTGGAACTAGGGACAGAGTCACAAGTATAAGAGAGATGCTGGTCTTCACCTACGTTTGCCTTTCCTGCTCTCGTATGAGCAACCACTGTAAACTCCCCTGCTCCGTGTATCTTGCCCCGTCCTGCAGTCCCTCCTGCCTTCCTGAGGTCTGAGCAGGCCGCTACCTGATGGCTGGTCCATCATTAGCACGTCCTGGGCTGCTGCCCTAGGCCAGCCCACACACCCAGCGGGGAAGAGCAGGTGGGCCTCTGACAGTCCAGGTTGTGTATTGGTAACTTCTCAGGTCTCTTTGGCTCCAAATGCTTCAAGGAGGTGATTAATTTCCCAATGGGATCTTTCTTTCAGGGCTGCAGAACCTGTTGGCATCCTACTGGTTTCCTTCCTTTCCTGAATCACTGTAGCCTGATGCATCTGTAGACTAACATGAGGGCCTGTGGTTGCCCAAATGACCAGTGGCTGGGCCCAGAGAGGCTCACAGATTCTTGCTTTGAACAAACAGGGACCTTCAGGATTGTGTGGACTTGGCTCTGGAGTCCACCACAAGAAACAATGCAGTTTTGAAGGATTTGGACACTCATTCACAGCCACACATGGACTTAAAAAATGCAAATATGTTCATTCTCCAGGTGGCTTAGCATAGCAATTGTGCATAACAATTTCTAGCCAACCTGAGGGAAGAGATGGTAAGAACTCAAAGCTCTCACCATCAGCCTGTCTTCTCCTTCCTGCACAGGGAGGAGTCCGGGAGGACTTTTCCAAGCTTTGTGCCTTAGTTTCTCCAAAGGTAGGTGATAAGCATCACACTCCACAGACCAGCCCAGCAAAGTGAAATTGAGTACTGAACACAAATTGAAAGGTGCACAGTGCATAACATACACATTGTTATTTTCTTCTGTGTTGCCTGCTTAATGCCTGGGAGCAGTCTAGGACATCCTCGAGGCAGAGATTACCGTTTTCTCTGGCTTTCTCTTCTAACCTCTCCCTGCAGATTCAGGGCTGAGCACCTGGAGAGGCAGAACCCTGACAGGAGACTGAAGTGGCCTTGCAGATTCCCTAGGGTAGACCCCTGTCCTCATGTATATCATCTTTCATTCCTGCCTCCATGCTAGACTCAGGTTTATAACAAAACAAAATCAAATGCATGCACGTGTGAGCAAGCACTTAGGCCCCCAACTGGGTCAGAGTCCAGCCACCTGCTCTGCTTGATCAACTGTCCCATCGCCTGGCTCCTCTCGGAGCACGACAGCCTGGCTGCTCACTCAGAGGTCCTGCCCCAATCCACAGTCAGACTCCCCAAGCCTTGATGGCATGCAAATATGGCATGGATGGGGAGGGGAGTCAGGGAGGAGGACAGTGAGAAGGGACCAGTCTAGCAGGGTTGGGGTGAGAAGTGGTACAGATGTGGGTGACTCCCAGGATGCCAGTATCAGCCTTGGCAGACTAGGGTTGGGAGGAGTAATGAATATGCAAGTTAACATTCAGAAATTCATATAAATCACTGTGGGTCTCCCCCCCCCATTCCTATCCCTTGTGCCTAATAACCTGCATCTGATTAGGACATCCCCAGAGGCAGGGGCTGATCCTTTTGTCTCTTAATCTCTTTTCCCTCCCCTCACCCTTAGCCCCAGGGCTTAGCATACAACCCACTTGGCTGTTCCTCAGACCGATTTTAAAGCCACAGCCCCCAAGTTAAGCAAGAGCCCATACAATTTCCGGACCCTCCAGCAGCAGAGAGATTTCTAAGTCTCCTCTCCCGAGCCACAGACAGCTTGCTTATCGGACATAATGAAATGATGCTTCCCATCCTCAGTAAAAGCCTCTAGAAGCCCAAACTTCTCTCCTTCTCCTAGCACAACAAAATGTCACCTTTTAGGCAAGACAAACTTGGGACAAAATTTAAATAGAAATAAAACCCTTAACAAGTTTTGTCTCTCACTGGATTTTCTGGAATCAGAGGAAGGTGACAAGACAGAACCAAACGTACTGAGCCCACATGCATCTCGGATCAAGACCCCAGAAAGGTGCTATTGCACTCAACACGCGGGGTGGGGGATCTGCACAACTCTCCAGCAGCTCCCCCAACCCACACAGGTGATCAAGTTCGCAGGGACATCAAGTCTTTTTGTTTTAGGAGCTGCAGGGGACCAAGGCTTCCCACCCTCATTATACAATCCTTTGTTTCCTTCTGATCCCTGCTCAGCCCACTGGCTTGGAATGGCTGGCTCTCTACTAGCATGCACACCTGGCTCCTCTGGCTTCCCGGGGGGCCTCAGCCACGCCATGCAAGGTGGGAATGGAGTGGAGATGGGTCTTCTTTCCAAGGAGAAGAGACAAGCAGGAAGCTGAGAATGATGAGGAGATGCCCCATGCTTGTAGGGGATGGCAAGGCCAGATCCCCTCTCACCTGGACTGGTCATAAAGGTGATGACGGTACTGCTGATGCCCTCGTGGTCCCGGGGATAAATCCGCAACGTGTATGTCATCCCGGGATAGAGGTCTGTCAACTGTATAGGCTGGGCCTGAGCCTTAACAGGGACAGTTTTTTTTGTGTGGTTGCCTGGGGAACAGAAATTTTTTTCAGCCTCAAACCAGGCACCAAGAGCTGAAGAGATGGTGCTTAAGTTCCTGCCCGAGGAGAAAGGGTAGGAAAAGGGGCAAGGGGACCATGGGCCAGTCTGCTGTACAGATCAGGAGGTTACTAGGCAGCTCCCTATGCTGGTCCGTGCAATGATAACTCTTACACGATATCCCTTCCGCTGAGGACATTGTTTCTTCTTCCTCACTGTCAGCTTAGCACTATGCATACGTGACCTACTTCCTCAAATTCTCATATGTCAGTCAATGCTCAGAGCCCCAGAGTATTCACTCCCCATGTGGGATCTTCCTGCTGAGGGTCAGTGCACCAGTTAGCTACGGCATGGCAACTAACATGCAGATGAGCCAAGGTCAGCTCCTTGGCTCTCACTCCTGGCTTTAGCTCTCATTTCATGCCCAGTGGCAAATCCTCCTATCAGGAAAAATGTGTGCCTGTGTGTCTGGCTGTGGGATGATAAGAAGTCTAAACCAAACTAAGGATTCCAAGTCCTGTGGACATGAACCCCTCCTCCATCATAAGGAACTGTGTGCTTAGAATTTCCTACGGGATCTTTGGGTGGGCCAGCCTGCTTGGATTTTCTGGCTGGATTGCTGGGTCCATTGCTTAGAGTATAGGACAGAGAGGCCATGAGGGTGGGCCTGACCTCAGGAGCAGAGGCCTCTGCTCATAGGAAACAGATGTTCTGACCACATTGCAGATAACCAATCTGTACCCTTGGTTCCAAGATCAGGTGAAGTGGGAACAGCTCAGCTCAAGTCACCACCTCCTTGGGACAAATGGCTCTGGTCATTTCTGACCATGGCCCATCTGTGAACTGGCCTAACCTGTCCAGTGGAGACAGCAGGACACAGGGAGCCCAAGTTAGGAGATAATATAGAAAGGAACTTTGGCTCACTTGGGGGCTATCCAGAACCCTCATCTGGGTGGGAAACAGACAAAAGGGTCTTGTTCTGTGGGTCCTCCAAGCGCATGCAGTGATAGCTTCACTAATGGTTTCAAAGCCCCTTCTCCTCGGGCCTGCTCCTCCTACCTCTGCAGCCTGACTGCGTATTGATTTCATTAAGCTAAAATTAAACCAGGCTAAAAGGCCTCTCTGAGACTGGGGGAGAGCACAGGATCCCTGTAATGGCATCTACCGCTCCCCACGGCCACCACCCCACATAGCAATGCTTACTGTCGATGTACTCAACCACAAAGTCGGTTCCTGGCCCGAAGTTGTGCTTCCATGTGATGTTGGCCCATTTACTGTTGGAGAGCACTGTGATGTTCCATATGAACTGCTCATCGGGGGCTGGGGGTGGATGGGTTAGAAAGGAGTTAGTGAGGAGGGGGCAGCATGGCTGACTCCGAGAAGGCGTGCATATAAGCGCGCGCACACACATACACACATACACACACACAGAGCCAGTTGGGGAAAAGTAGAGTAAGAAATGGCTGTGCACAGGGCCTGTCCGAACTCCAAGCTGCAGCCTTGGTGGCCAGGCCAGGAGTAGCCATCCAGGGATGTGCAGGAGCAGTCAGGAGGACGGAGATGGGAAGGAGCACTGGAAACTATCTATATGCTTGCATGGGTCGGGGCAGGGATGCAAGAGTGGGTCTGGATCTACGCCGTCTGCGACTCTAACTTGGCTTGTTTCTTTCTTAGATCCTTTATCATAGATTTGAACAGTGCAAGGAAATGGGTCACTAAATGGTGCCATAGTCAGGACACTGACAGAGGGCCAAATGTACAAGCCTCTTTCCCCTTAGCCATGGAAGTTCTACAGGAAGAAGAAGGGTTGTCTTTGGAGGTCAAGCAAGCAGGGCTGCGGGTACAGCTCAGAGCTAGCGTGCTTGTCTTCTACGTGGATTTGATCACTCCTAGGGTTCGCCCCTAGCACCACCAAAAGCCAGAATTGTGATGCCGTGTGCAACAAGAACAGGACCAAACGTGTGAAATGCTCCTGGGCTTCTGCAGCTGGAGGAGGAGGATGGGAATCCAGGCAGGGGTCTCTGGACTGAGGACCCTGTGGTTGCTCTTGGCCAGCGACAGGTGGATGGTATTACAGCAATGACTTGAGATTTCCTACAGTGAGCTGAGGCCTAGAATCCCAGGGTCCCAAGTACATAAAGACAGTGTAAGCCCTTTGTCTACCTGCTATGAGAGCTGTCTGAAACCTGTGTATAAGGGAATGGTTCTAATCTCAAATATGGTCACTTTTCAAGAGTCCCAGCAGTCTGATTACCCCATTTTCCAGCAAAGATCTAATAGTGGAGGGCTAGCACGAGACCTGGTGCTTCAAAGACTTTACAAGTGTGGCTCCTGTATATTTTATTAGCATGCAAGGGGGGCACTGTCACCAAATCACTTGTCAAAAATAAATGAACAGAGTGCACCAGTGCACCGGTGATGCATTTATTCATTATCTCCTTGACATGTGACTGAGTCGGCACAGCTGGGACAGTGATAAAAGATTTCCTCATTTTCACTTCAAAGCAGCGTCTTTTTACTACAACCTTGTCAGGTGCTGGTTGCCCAAGGTGAACACAAGGCATGTTAGGCGAGGGCCACACGAAAGCTTTCTAATGGCACTGCAGGGCATTCTGCATGGGGAGGCAGAAGCCAGGCTTCTTCACTTGTCTGTCAGGTGTTTCAGGGGGGTTGGTTGTTTAAATCCCTTCAATCCCAGTGCCTTGGAATCTCATAGCTCTTGATAACAAGAATGAATGATCAGCTATGATTTGAGGATTTGACTTACTTACTCTTTAGCCCTGAACCCTATAAACTAGCTAGAGAATTTACATTTAAGCAGTTTGGTTCCTAAGGCAATATTGACCAAAATCTGGCTGTTCTAAAGGGAAATGCTTTCAGGAAAGGACAAACAGTGGGAAATCCGAAGTATTTAGAGGTGGGAAGCGGGTGAAAGCACCATCATACACAGGGACCAAGGTGATGGCCACTAAAGAACTGGAAAGTTTGAAGAGAAAAACAGGCATAAGTGATCAGTAACTATAAAGACAAAAAGGGTCAAGAAGGGGAAGCATGTGTTGTTCCACTGAGTCCTGGTATGTAAGAGGTACAAATATCCTTGAAATCTAGAAAGACATTTTGAAGACAAAAGGCCCACATCACTCCTTGAAAGGTAAATTATGAGGCTTCTAAGATGTAAGATGTGATAAAGACGAAAATTCGTTTAAGATGTCCTGGGCAGCAGTGCGATGCTACCTTGTCAAGGGAAGTAGGGGTGCCTGAAGAATGTCCCCAAGCTCTTGATAAGATCAGGACCACGGACAGCTCCTCTGTAGTGTTTCAGCCAGGACAAAAACTTGGAGTGAGGGTACTAAGTGAGCCCCAAGTAGCAACAAGGCAGATCTTTCCAGAAACAGGTAAGTGTTTTCTGGGGAGTAAGATCCCATTACTCCTTTCTTGGAGCTTTTCTGCAAATTCCAAGTTCTCTAGGACACAAAGTCCCACTTAATGACACAGGCCTCACTGCAGCCCCAAAGAATACCAATCACCAGGTCACTGCTGAAGGCAGCCTCTAACAATCTAGAAAGTGCCTTCTCAGTCAGCGTTTCCCTCAGTGCAGGTTGTTTAAGTCCTAGCTAGTGTACCTTGAAAACAAACTGGTTTTTAATATTTGAGGTGGATGGCAGCTGTGAATCCCCCTCTCCTTACTAACGATGCAACTGAGTTAAATCAAATACTCCCAGGAAGCCGGGCGAGTGAAGGGTGGGGGCTACAAGTCTGCTGGAAGGCGTGCTGGGGGCCTCTGCTGGCCTTGAAGGCTGCTTCCTGCTGACTGTGCAGCTGGCCAGGGCCTTGGGAAGCCAGGCACACTCTTCTCTGTGGGGCTAAGACTGTTTGATGTTGGGTGTTCAGAAATACCGCTGAATCTCCCAGATGTCTTCACACCCGAAGGGCAGGGCTTCCTGGCCTGGCTGTGCAATGCAGTCTCCTAGTTCCCCAGGGCAGGAGCCCTGGAAAGGCTGCCGTTTTCTCTCGCTGAGTGCATCTGAGAGCTCAGGGAACATGGGAGCACCTGTAGCCTATGTGGCATCATGACCTAGCAACACCATTTTCCTGGAATCTCAGACCTTTTTTTCTTTTCCTTTCCTTTTCTTTGGGCGTGGGGGAGGTGGTCAGTGCTGGAAGTGGAACCCAGGGCCTTATGCACGCTAGGCAAGCGCTCTACCACTAAGCTACATCCCTAGCTCTTTAAACATTTTTTTTTAAAATTTTGAGATGATCTCACTCAGTGCCCTAAATTTGTGATCCTCCTCTCTCATCTCCCAAGCAGCTGAGATTATGAGTATGTACCACCATCCCCATCCCAACTTTTTAAAAGGAAAGTCTTTAAAAATTCCTGGGGGAAGAGAGACAAGAAAGGAGCAGGACTTCCAGGAACAGAGCTGCTGATCCTAAAGACTAGATAGGGACATGGTTGGAGCCCAAAGCTCTCTCGGGCTGGCTGCACAGCACCAGGTCTTTCCCTTCCCGTCACTCCTTCCCTTCTCAGTCCTAGCTGCCTGTGACATGTATTTGGAGCCAGCCCCACATCTGTGCCCGGGGGTCCCGTTGGAACACCCTGTGTTTGAGGGCAGGGACTGGAGGCTGGGGTGTGGGGTGGTGAATGGTGGAGTCCTGAGCTTCTGACCACCAGGCAGAGCTTGCAGATAACACTAAAGAAGGCACTGGTAACGCCACTGCAGACCCTGCCTCCCAGCTGGGGAAGCCGGGTGCCTGTTTCCTGGGTCAACTGGGAGGTGGCAGAGGGGAGAGGGAGTGGGGCAATACCGGATTCCTGCATCTTACTCCTGGTGCCGGTGGTGGGAGGACTCTCCGTGGTGGTGGTGGCAGCAGTGGTTGTAGTAGTTGTGGCGACGGTGGTTGTGGCGATGGTGGTAGGTACGACAGTTGGGATGATGGGGACTGTTGTGGCTTCAGTGGTGGCAGCAGCGGCAGTAGCATCAGTACTGCTCGCAGTGCCTATCGCACCCTCGGTAGGCGGGGGCAACGTGGGAGGTGCTGAGAGGGAAATGTAAAACAGCCACGTCCGGTTGGTTTGGCTGTGCCCTGCCTGCACACTCGGCCCCCATGTGCAAGGCAGGCAGCCCAGGAAGAGGGCACTGGAAATCAGAAGCCTCCCCAAGCATCACACACTAACTGGCTGAGGCGGAGCACAACCAGCGCAGACACAACCATGGGAAAGGAAGAGAATGAAGCCCGCTGTGCAGTTCATTTTCTTCTCATGGTCCATGCGGTTCAAAGCACCCACATGCAGCCAGCTGAGGACGGGGGCGGCACGCGCTGAAATCACTCAAATCCCAGGGATGGCACGGAGTCCTAGCCAAATGCCACCCAAACACAGGCCCCAGTAGCACCAGTTGGGTCCAGCCCTGGAGCCCTGGCCTCAGAGGTGGGGAGCCCCAGCCTGCAGGGGCTCAGGGAGCTCAAAGTCATTTTTATCTTCTTTTTGTTCTACCAGTCACCCAGACCAGTGGCACAGAGAGAATGGGTCCTGCTTGCAGGGGTGGAGGTAGGGGATGGGGCCACATTTTGCAAGGTGCCTGGTCATACTGAGCTCCACCTTTCACTTCCTGCAATTGCCCTCTGATAACCACCTTTCTCTCTGGGAAATTTGAGGCCCAGGTACCCCAAGTCCATTCTGTATGCTTTAGAACCTGGGAACAGGGGCACTGGTGGCCTCACACTGTGGCTGGTGCTTGGTAACACTATCTTCCACAGATGACAAGGAAACCCCAGCTGCGAGTAAGCCATGCGCTGGGCTTCTTTTCTGCCTAAATCATCACCTGGGGCACAGGGCAGGTCAGACTTGGCTCCCTCTCATAGCTCCATCTTCCACTCATAGTTATCTGAGGCTGGTTGGTCCTGGGGGGACTGGGTATGTGTATATGACAACATTTTCTCAGGTCCGCCTTCCTTCTCTAGTAGGGACATGGACATTAATGAAGGATTCTCCATCCTTACCTCCAGTTCAGATTTTGCAGAAGCTAAGAATGGTGAAGAATGATGGTGGATATCAGAGAGAGGCAGTGCGACCTTTCCTCTCTGTACTCCTATGATCTGACAAGAGAGTATCTTCCAGTTTTAATGGGTAGTAAGTGGTCAGGAGCCTCAGACATAAATGGGTAACTCTAACTCCCAACGAATAGTGACATCACACCCTGTTTTAAGTCTCCCTGAGTTCAGAAAAAAAAATCCCCTTACCCTTCCCACTCCTATAGAAAGCGGTTAGGCCAGACAGGGAAGCCCGAGACAGCAAATTGCTACAGAGCTTTCAACAAAGGAGAATCAAGTGATCCTGAGCCTTTTTACCAGAGCCTAACCAACAAAAGCCCTTTCATTCCCCTAGACCTCTGACACTGCAAGTCCCCCAGAGAGGAGAAGGGAAGGTTTCTAGGGTCCCTGTCTCTCCCAGCTGAGAAGATCAGAGATCTACTGGCCCCTTGGGTGGTGACTACAGAAGTCACACAGGGGTGCTGACTGTACCCCACACACTGCAGAGATTCCTGGGCCAGTTCAAAGCCAACAAAGCAGCATTTCCCAAACCCTAGACAATGCTCAGACACCAGGAAGGCTAGTGTGGGGAATTCTGTCTTCATTTATACCTAGTCCAAGGGGGGCCCAGGTCTGTAATGTATGCTCAGTGCTGGACACAGCCTGAGAGGCTGTACATGTCCCGCCTGTCACGTTGCTCATGTGCATGTCCCTCTCACCCCAGGCAGCTTGGGAGACCCCCAGGGTGAGGGTCAGCTCCTTAGGCCTGGACCATGCTGCACCACTGTCCTGAACACCCACAGCTCCTCCTCCTGCTCAGTGCTGGGAGAGGCAAGCTGGGAGAGGCTGCTTGTTCCTCAGAGCAGGACTGCTCCAATTTAGCCCTGTATCAGTAGTATATTCCTTTCTTTTGTATATTTCTAATAATTCCTGGCAGATAAGATGCTCACTGAGGCCCTTCCAATGATTGTCTAAATGCATCATTAGAAATCACTCCCTGGTTCAGGTCCTGTGCTTCCTTTCTCCCATTTCCAGAGATGAACATTCCCAGGCCCCCAGATCCAAGTCAACTGGCCTCAGAGCTACACATACTTTCACACAGCTCTTGGTTCTCATGCAAGCAGAGATACACACATCCACGCCTGCCCCCTTGCACCATGCCTGGGTGCTGCCCAGAGATGTGGAGAGAGGAAAGACACAGTGGTAGTGAACCTAAGCATGTGGGCCTTCTCATGGGCAAGGCATGCCAGTCAAGCCACCCAACACCACCCCAGTAGCCAAGCACTGGATAACAGTGCACACAGCGGCAGTGTTGGCACTTTGCAATAAATACGTAGGTTTTGAGTTGCAGTCTGGACACTCAGTCTCTAAAGGGTTCGCCATCACTGGGCTAGAGTGTGTTCCTCACTTGGCAATGCTGATCAGACAAAAAGGAGAAGCAACTCTGGCAGTGCTTCCAGACCACCTTGTCCCCACCACTCACGGCCACTTTTGTCAAGTGTGTGGGAAGAAATTGGTTCTTTCTGGCGGTGGCTGCCTAGCTACTTTCTCTCCAGCTCAAAGGCAAAAATCACAACAGCTAAAGGGGAGAAAGGAACGGAATCACTGTCTAGGTGGCCCCCCAGGATGCTCACCGGAGGACACAACCTCAGCTGGCTGAGGTCACAGCTGGTGAATTAATGAGTCTCTGATCCGAGGAGGACAGAGGCAAGAGACCTGAGAGAAAGCACTGCAGGGTCAGGGGCAGGAGCTGTCAGGACAGATGGGAAAGGGAGTCAAGCTTTTCCCACCCCCTACTGGGGCCCATTGACACAGAGATCACTTCAGCCCCTGGGCTGAGTTGTGGAAATGAGAGGGTCAGTAAGACCCGGAGCAGCCATGTCTCTGGGTGAGGGTGTCATTTCCAGCCACAGCAGGATGTATGGACTTGGCAACCCTGGTCATTGTTTGGTGGAGATCACTAGTCTGGTAGCTGAGAATATGGTGCAGGGCCCCTCATTATCTAAGGGGGCATCTAGGGCAAGCCAAAGCTTGAAGCACAGGGCCCTGCCACAGCAAAGGCACTGCCAGGCCCATGGGAGGCCGCATGCCCACTGGAAGGTACTCCGGCCTTGGCCAAGGATTCCCTACTGGAATTTGGAAGTACTTTGTAGGAGATGGAGAAAACTGTGGAGATGACAGGTCTCATTCATTTCTGTCCCCAAAGCTTGCCATGGAGCTGTGCATCCATCTAGAGCCCACCAAGCATTTGCAGATCTGAGCTGAGTCAAAGCCAAGGACAGAAGTTTCCAGACATTCCAAGGTGGAATGCTCAGTCCAAAAACGTCCACATGGTATGATCCATCCTGGCCAAATCACAGATTGTCAGACAGATGGGCAGCAATCTGAACAGACTGCAGATACAGGTGGATGTGAGGGATTATCTTCAGTTTAGGGTAAAAGGGCCCAGGTTTGGAAAGAATGAGCGGGAGGCGAGTGGTGGGCTGGAAGCTGGGCTCTCACATCACAAACACACAACCTGAGCTCCATTGCTGGCACCTACAGACTGTACAGAAGGTTCTCATGCATGCAAAGCCAAAAACATCTGATATTATCAGCCCATCTCTTGTCCAAAAAAGTGCAATCTGCCTTCACCAGCCTGATACATGGAAGCTGAGCCTTACAAACACACTTGATTGATGGACAGAGACCCTGAGATCATTCTTTAGAACAAGATGAGTTTGCATCTTTTCTAAATGGAAGTAGGAATGGGGTGTTCAGAATAACACCTCTCATCTCTCTCACAATTGCCATTTCTGAAAGGGCAGTACAGGCTGGCACAGATGTCCACTGACCAAGGTAGACTCCCTGCTGCTGGACCCACCTGTGTTGGGTTCCAATGTGCCAGAACGGGGGAGGTAGATAAGGAGCTGCTTGACCAATGAGCATTGAGCTGACATGGCTGGTGTCATCCCTGGGTCCCCACTTAGGCTGCCCTGAGCATCTGCTATAATAGTCGCGGGACAGACTCATCGGAACTTGAATCAGAAAATCAGGAGAGCCCCCAGCATAGCAAGGATTGCTTTCTCCCTGGTTCCCTGACCCTGGACAATCTCTTGGGCTTGAGCAGAGGTGTGCCGACCTGTGAGGGGCCCCTGGGCCCAGGCTGGTCTGGGTTATCGGGGGTGGAGGGGGTGAAGAGACCTGCTGGAGGGAAAGACAAGGCTGCTTACCACCTACAGATCTGGCAAAACATATGCAAACTCAAGGAAGCAGGGTGTGCAACAGAAATAGAATCAAACCTAGAAAGGGGGCGGGGAGACAAATGGGCAAAGGTGGGGAGGAACCAAACCAGGCAAGGTGGCACCCTTTCCCAGTGCTGAGCCTTGGGTCCTCAGCTGCTACTCAGCTTTCCCCACACCTCCAGCTTATTTAGGGAGGCAGTGGTGAGCCACGTTCACAGCCTCTGCACCACCAGAAAACCCTGGGTTCATTTCCCACCTGAAACAGTGCAGCTCAGAGGAAGGCCAGGAAAGGAGCCTTGCATTTCCTGTATCACTTTTCTAGATTAGGGACAAGGTGTCTGTAGTGACAACTCCTTTGATAGTCCTTAAACCCACAACACAAGGACTACAGAAGAACATGGTAAGCAGGTCAACTCCTAAGCCAGGACCTGCCTGCCCAGCCCCTGGTTTCTGCAGTAGCTCTTCTGCTCAGACCCAGAGAGTGGAGACTTCTTAATGTTACAGACTGAGAACCGCAGGGGAGAGGGAACCATCTGCCCACAGTGTACCCTGAGACTCCAGGTCCTGGAGCACCTGGTCCTACTCATGGACATGCATGCTTGTTCTCACTGGCCAGAGCCCAAGGCAGCTGGCAGATCTGGTGCTGGGGCCCCCATGCAGGATGCATAGCTGGCATGCATAGCGCGCTCACCCTTTCAGGGCATGGTGGCCTGACCTGGAGCCAGCTGCCCCTGCTCCAGCAGGCCTCCTAGGGCCAGCTCTGTATTCTGGGCTGGCAAGCTCAGGAAGGCTCAGGCTGTGTACAGGAAGTAATCACTCAGCCTCAGGAAAAGTTGCAACAACAGAGAGCAGGCCAGAAGTCCAAGGGGGGACCCCTACCAAGCCACTCTCCTTTTCAGGAGGGGGCAAGGATTAAATGAACAGAGCAGGCTTACTTTTCTCTGGTTTGTGTTGCATACACCCACTCCGCGCAGGTCTGTCTGGCTTCCCACCACTGAAAGGGTGATTCTAGGGCATGCTTTTGGCCCAAGCCTCTACCTCCTGCTCCACCCTGGCTGTTCTCTACCTGTGCTGCCCCATGCCATGCCAGTTACCTCTGCTGTTGGTACGGTACCTGCGGTTGGAGTAGCTTCAGACACAGCACCCAAGATGACCAGAGAGAGGGAGAGAGGATGAGAAAAGGAAGAGAAAACAGAGCACAGGTGAAACCACAGGATAAGCAAGCAGAGAGGGCCTGGCGCATAGCTGACCTGGATGTGCGCCCAGCCACTGGTTGCTGCCTTTGGGGGTGTCAGCTGACACTCAGGGTGATGGTTGACCCACCTGGGGTCAGGCAGGAACCTACCTACTTTTACACCTGAGTCTTGAAGACTTTTCTAATATAACCTGTGTTTACTCCATATTCAAGGAACAATCACCTAAGTGGTAGCAGCAGAGACACTATACCCAGAATGCTGCGTGCTCAATTCTTCTACCAAGGCTGCGTCCTGCCCTGGCTGGACTGGGTGGCCCTCTGGATGCCAGGAATAAAATGTGCAAGGTGTAGGTGGTGGAACCACCCCATTCAAGAGGGTGGTTCCTGAGCCTTTTCAGGAAGGTGCTGTTGGAGCAGACAGGTGAGGGGGACCACATGTGGCTAGCGTCACCTGTTTCCTGAACTCCATGTAAGTCTTCCAAAGCATGGGGACTGATCTGGCCTCCCAGTGTTCCAGTACTTCCTACCACCTGTTCCTTATAAAATTAGAAACCCAAGTGTGGACACGAAAACAAATCCCTGAATTTTCTGCAGATCTGTAGGTTGAGAAGAAAATCTCTCTGTTCTTTTGTCTCCTGGGGCTGGTGGCCACTGGAGCTGGACAATGGTGTTTTGTTTGCTGTACTATAGGAGGTGGGAAGAGGCCCTCTGTTGAGAAAGTGCCTCGGGACTGGCCTTTGGGAAAAGACTGTATCAGTCACTGACCTAAAGTCCCTCAGCCCTAATGAACTTCCTGAGTGCCTGATGCGTGTGTGTGTGTGTGTGTGTGTGTGTGTGTGTGTGTGTGAGTACTCCAGGAGGGGAGCTTGTGATTATTGATTTGTAAGACCAGAGAGGGACACAGAGAAGATGACAGCCCTTCTCTGGCTTCTGCCAGCACCTCTCCCCTGCCTCGGTACTGAGAGGTGTGCAGGGCGGTGGCTATAACTGCATGAGAAGCTTTGGCCAGGGCGGCAGAGCAGGAGGCACCATGATCTGGGATGGTGGTGGGGAATTGCCCAGGAGACACTCTCCAGGTCAGGTTTAGGTACTTGTGGTACCTGAGCCTTCATGGGAGAGTAGCAGACATGATAACTTGCCAGCCCCGGGGGAATACCTAAGCACAGTGCTTCTCTTTGGGGTCCCTCCTGCGGACTGTGTGCCATTCCTCTGGCTGCCACTGCATTCCCTTCACTTGGTAGACAACTAGATACTCTTTTGGCTGTCTCTGCACTGTATGAACCTTTGTGTTCCTCGTTTCTGGTGCAGTGCACCATGAGTACCCAAGGAATGAATGTTTGCATAGATCAGTGTACCTCTTGAGAGGCAGAAGGGTCCCTATCTTTTCACAGAGGTCTGTTAATACTGAGGTCTTTGCAGTCTTGCACACCTGGAAGGTTCCCATGGACATCTGTGAGGGTGAGCCTGGAGCACCTCCTAGTGGTATCCTAGGGCAGTGCAGCTCTGGCAGGGGACACGGCTGCAGGAGCACACCAGGACCCAGGAGATAAGCCCAGTCGTTCCTTCTAAACCTGCCTTGGCAAAGGGCTGTTTCGCAGCCCCTTTTCTCTCTGCAACCTGAAACTTCGTCCAATTCATGGTGCAAGGAGAAACATTCCCTATTCTACTCACAATCTGGGCAAGCAGCTTCAACGCTGGCCTTTTCCCCTAGCTCCTGGCCTCACGGACCCTTGGGGGAAGAAGGGTGGCCCGCTGAGTGCTCATGGAGCATTCCCAGTCATATTCCTGTTTCCCTCTTGGGATGAGAAGTTCCACTGTTCTTTGGGGGTTACCAGAATATTTACTTTCAACAAAGTTTCCCTTGCCTCCTTCCCTCTCCTCTCTCTTCCTTCCTCCTCTGCAAAAAGGTAAGAGGGTCCATGGTAAATAGCTGAGCATTTCAAGGTAACATGGGGCCCAGGTCTGGTGAGATCCAAGTTCTCCAGATACAGCACTGCACTTCTGTCTCAGCACTGGAACAGGCTGGCTCTGTCAGGGGCTTGAGAATCTACAGCTTCACACCCTCTCCATCCCAGAGGGCCAGGCCCAGCTCTCCCCCATGGACTTACCTTCATTGGGAGGTGCTGGAGACTCCTCCGTAACTGCTTCTCCGGAGCCCACCTGTGTCCTGGCGCTGAGGGTAAAGCGGTAGCGTGACACAGGGTCTGATCTCTGCAGGGAGAACTTGGTCTGGTTGGGAGAGAAGTTTTCCACTATCTGTTTTCCCAATTTGGTTCCATTAACTGGGGAGAGAGGGAAGTGGAACAGAAATTTAGCAGTGTTTGCTCAATGGGTTCTTTAATCTGGAGCTGGAAGAATACCTTCCTGACTTTCTGCAAAGGGAATGGTGGCCCCTGCTGGTGACTTTCCAGGCTGGTTTGGAAGGCAGAGGCTTGGTTCCTGCTCCCTCTCTGCTCTGTGCTCACCACCTCGAGGGCCAGGGCTTCTTCTTAAGCCCACTGTCTCCAGCTTGCTACAAAGTCATGGGGCTGACAAATCTTTTCTCTCCTTCCACTCAAACAGAAGTGAGGCAAACCCACCAGGGCTTCTGACTGTTAATGCCTCTTGCAAATGGCAATCAATATGCCTCCAAGGCAGAGGAGTTAGAGGTAGATTCAGAATAGCACATAAACACACGAATGGCTATTAAAACTTTTAACAGTTCAGTACTGGCCCTTTGAGTTCCTCAGTGAGGTACAACACTGCATACACTAGGAGTCTTGGTGATTTTCCTATGTGATGACACGCCTGCATGGTGACACTGAGATCCCAAGGAGAGGTCTTTCTGCTCCAGGCCCCTGATTTGAGTAACTCCAAAGTTGCCGGGCTGTTCCACACACAGCCACATTACACAAATGACACTTTCTTAAGGTGTCCCCTGGCTGTCCACACACACACTGTCTGCTCCACTGGATGAGCAACTTTCTTCTCTCCTGGACCTGGAGCCACTGGGGACTGTAAGATCTCTAAGGCCAGGTTGTCATCCTCATTAGACAAGTATTTCCTGCACCCTACTTGCAAGACTAGTTTCCTCACTGCCACCAAGGCTGTGTGCACAGAGTGTGGACTGGGCTGCACCTGACTCTGGTAACTTGTGGGCCGCTTTCCTTGTCCCCTCTGACCCTCCACCATGCTCTCTGCCTTTCTACCTCACTTCCTTGGTGTAGGTGGGGAGAACATGTGGTTTCTCAGAGCATCTCAGAGAATGAGGGACAGAACATACAGGCCACGTATCTGAGGGTATATCCCGTCAGGATCCCGTTGGGGTGTTCCGGATGGTCCCACTCCAGGTTGATTGTCTCCAGGTTGGGCTGCCGGACTCGGAAACGCCTAGGGGCACTGGGTACTTGGGGAAGGAGGAGAGAGCAGGGGACACGGGGGAGAGGAGGGCAGGGAGGATAAGGAAAACACAAAAAGAAAGCACAGGATGAAGGCATTGACCTCATGCTGGAGGTTGCTGCAGCAGAACCTGGAGGAAGACGTGGGGCGGGGCCCACTGCCCCACCCTGGAAATCCTCTGCCTTGTGATGCTTGGTCTGGTTTAGACTTTGTTCCTGAAATGGGGGAAGTAGACCGAGTTTTCCTCCAACAAAGAGCCTGGCAGATGTTAGGCTCCAGTCCTGCAATGGAGCCTCCAATCCAGCAGAGCATCTCCAGGTAGAAACCCACTGCAGCTCTCTTCCAAATCCTCAAAGATTCCACTTCTGGGTCCGGACAGTGGGCCCAGGCTTCTGAGTGGAAGATGGTGAGGTCAGAGGAGGAGGAAGAAATCAGGAGGGAGCACTTGGAATGGGGAGCAGGAGTGATGGGGAGAGGCTGATGATGAAAATCAACTTGAGGAGCAGGGAAAGACACGGATAAAATAAACATGAAGAAGAACACAGGAGCAGGTAAAGGAGGCTGGAGAAAAGGAAAATGAGAAATAAAGATGAAGGAGGGAGGAGGAGAAACAGAAGCCAAAGCAAATGCAAAGTAGGTAAGAGAGGCCTGGAAAGAGAAGAGGCGACTCGAACTTTGCAGATAATCTGCACCCCGGATTAGGTCAAGCCACATGCTTGTTGGGGGAGGGAAGTAGAGCCTCCCACGCAGGCTACTCCACAGGTGCTGCTTGGAGATGTGGGGAGAGAACTGGCTGAGATCTTAGGAGCCGGCAGACAAGTCATCCAGGAAGTCGGGACAGTGCTGGGGCAGCTCGGGCTCTGCAGTCTCTTGGGGTCAGTCTGCAAGCCCATCTGGAATCCCACCAGCAGACCACACATGGCTTCTCTTGAGATATAACCTCCTTCCAGAACAGGCCACCTTGGTGGTGGAGAACTCTGTGACAATGGTGGGCCACTCGGCCTGCAGGTCATCAGCTCCTTGAGGCCACACTGAGGTCACTGTGTGCTGCTCGTGCCCAGCCACACTGGGGCTGCTCCAGGCCCATCAGCACGTGCTACTCTTGTCCTGCCCACCCAGCAGAACCACAGGTCACACCTACCTCCTTCCGGGGTGGTGAACTCCTTGGTCTCACTGCGGGGCCCATCACCTCTCCCATTGACCACAACCATCTCCAGCTTGTAGTTGCTGTAGGGGAAGAGGCGGCCCACCACACCCCGAGTGCGGTCACTGGAGAAACTGGCTTGCTGCCTCTTCTGAGACACCCACAGGTTCTTCAGCAAGCTGCTTTCCCTCCAGTAGTAGGCCTTTGGGAAGAGGCAGGCTGGTGAGGGGTCGGGCAGCACATCGGGTTAGTGGTTAGTGGTGGTGGCAGTGACCGGTCTTCCTTTTTCACTACAGGCTCCAAGTCCCAAATGATCTCATCAGTTCCACACAGGGCTGGGGGAGCAGCCTTAGAGTACTCCCTCATTAGCCACTGGTTAATGTGAATTTACGCCAAATGAGAAATAGGGCTGTGGTTTCACTCATTTGCAGGGCCATGGCCACCTCTTTAGGAAATGGGTAAACTGGGCACAATTAGATCTGAGCTGCCTCATGCATCGTAAGATTTATTTCCAAGCTGGGTAACATGTTGCACAAGGAGTCCAGGCTGGAACCACCAATAGGAGCCAGGGAGTCCAGCATGAAAAGTTCTGTCTAGGCTCAAAGACCACATCACCTTGAGTTGATTAGTACAGTTTAGATTGGCAGCAGACAGGCGTTGACAAGCAGCAGGTTACCCCGGGAAGTTGGAGTGTGAGCAAAGGCTGGTTTAATCCTTTGAAGCCAAACAGTTTCTTTTTCTATTGTTTGAAGACCTTTAGAGATGAGACAGACACATACCCAAGGGACAGTCACATGTCCAAGTCAGACGGATGTGGGGCCGCATGGTGGCAGACTTTGGGTGGGACAGGGTGGCTATGAAAGATGGTAGTATCACAGGGTGCAGTGGAGGTAATTAGCAGTGGGAAGGAAGCGGTAGGTCAGGCTGTGACAGCAGTGTCACCCATGCTGCCCAGAGCAAAGTAAGGAAGAAGTCCAGACAAAGGGGACCCGATGGGAGCGTTAGCCGGAAAAAGATCCAGGCAATAGGCAAAGGCACTCTCTCAAGTGCCTTCCTTCTCCTGTTTCAAAGTCTTTCCAAGAGGAGACTGATCCTTTTCACCATCAGCCACCTCCCGATGACCTCTGAGGCCAGAGACTCAGCATTAACCCAGGGTTACAGCTTCTCGTACTTGCCAGCCCACTTGAAATACAGCGAGAGCTGTGCAAACCCTGGGTTTTCTCTCCCATCTCTGTGAACCGTTCCAAAGTCAGGAGCCTGGGCAGAACCGGAAGGCAAGGGCTCGACTCCCCGCCTGCTGCGGAACCCTGACTTGGCTGTGGCAACAGGGCAGGTGCTTGCACTCTTTCAGTGGCTTTGCCTATTAGTGGTGGCTTTTTGGAGCCACCGGGGAGGCAAACAGTCCAGCAGAGGCCTTGGGGGTCGGGATGGAGCTCACTGCAGTCTTAACTCTGCATACATGACGAACACATGTGCCACCCCTCGTCAGCCCAAACCCATCACCTCTCACAGGGATTTCCGCTGAGCTGAATCTCCCAGCAGTTCCTTTGCAAGACTTACGTGGGTGTGAGCATACGTACACAGTCATGAGCCACACAGAAGATTACAGCAGGGCTGAAAACGTCATATCTCCTGGTAACATCATAGCCATGAGAACGTCACACTGCAATGCATCATTCACATCTGTGACGATGCCAGCACAAACAAACCCACTGCAGGGCCAGGCCTGTAACAGTGCAGCACTTACCGTTCTGTGCAGTTCACAGTATTTAGTAAAGATAATAAACAACCGTTGAGTGGGATTATGTATTTACTATAGTGCACTTTTTCATCATTATTTATGCTTTTTAATCCTTCTCTAAAAAGCCTTTCCTGTACCACAGTATGCTGTGTTATACTGGCAACAGCGCACAGAGCTGTGTTTAATGTGTTCCTTGACTGCCTCAAGAGGCCACCCTGAGTGACAGATTTACACCAGGGAAGTTTGTGCCAGTATACTCTGAAGCTGGCACAATGACCGGACTGCCTAATGATGCATTTCCCAGGACACGCCCCTGGCATTCAGTGATCCATGACTGTATACGTATTTTTTTGTGAGCAATTTTTGAACAGCTCATCTTAGACATCACCTTGACTCAACTGTGGATCCTATAAATTTGCCTAGTGCCCTGCACCCCATCTCTGCTAGGCCTCGCCTTAGTTAGTGCACCAGGCTGTTAGGGGATTGGGAGTGGCTCCTCACTCGGTACTCTCGGAGCTGGCCCTGGACCGTGTCGGAGTAGACTCGGTTCCACTGCAGGCCGATGGCTGTGCTGTTCAGGACCCGGACCTTAACGTCAGTGGGCGCAGCCCGGGGATCTGCAATGTGTTGGGAGAGTGGGTTAAACAGGCAGGGCTGGCCCTTGGCTCCTCCATCCCCCGACATGTTTTGTGCTGGCCTGCCCCATCCCACTGGATGCTGGGGACTTCTGTGGGGGAGGGCTGTATCTCCTGTCAGACTACACTTACAGAAATGGAGGAGGCTTAGGGCAAGAGGGGGCCTGTGTCCTGTCCACTCTCCACCCTCCTCCATCTACCCTGTGACCTGGTCAGCTACTCTCTCTAGATCTCACCTGCTGACTCCCTTGTTCCCAGAAGTCCCCCTGGCTTGTTCTTGTCACTGTCCTTGGCTCTCTCTTTGCTGGGCTGCAGACTGACATCCTGGCACTCTTCCAGCCAAGCCCACACTCCATAGAATGATCTTCACGGGTCAGGGTGCCGTCTCCCTCCCTAGCCACCCAGGCTGAGTGGCACGTAGGCTGCCAGCCTTGAGGAGGTTCATGTGTCTTGCAGTGTGCCCTCTAAGCCTGTCCACACACTGTCAATGGTCCCTTTTGAGTGTCACCTGTGTTCTGTCAGCACGAAGCATTACAGACTGGGGATGACCTAACCTCATTCGGGAGGTGAGTCTGAGCCTGCAAACCCCTGGGAAGAGAGAAGCATCCCCTCCTCCATTCTCTTCTCTACTCCAGAAGCGTGGCTGCTCCGCCCTCTAATCCACAGGCCCCACAGCAGATGGAAAACTGGGGTGGTCCAGGAAGCCCCTGGCCAGGAACTTCCTATGCACACTTACCATCCAGCATTTCCACTGGATCCCTGCCTGGAAGTTGAGGTGAGCAGGGGATAACCCCTTGTCTCATCTCCAGTGGGTCCAGGCCCTGGTCACCTCGAGGCTCGGCCTTCACATCTGCTACGTCTGGCCCTACTCTGGGCCCAGCACTGCTCCTTCTGAGTCCACTTTCCCCAGGCTGCTCCCTCTTCCCTTCCTTCTGCTCCCCTCCACTGCCACACTCTCTTCTTGGATTGGTACAGACCTAATGGGGCCAGGGTTGCCCTGAGCCAGGAGGGGACTGACCAACCCGCTTTGCTCAGAAGCCTGCGGACCTGAATGCTGGGCACAGAGGGGCTGCCACCCTCTGGGTAGCCAGGCACACACTGCTAAGGACACATTTAACACCTTGCTTTATCCCTGCCATCTCCAAAGAACTCTTTTTATGCTCAGTTTCAAGGCTGGAAGCAGCACTGGGAGTGCTGACAGGTGACTGCTCTGGAGACCTCCACATCGCTCAGAGCTCACACTGCCCACAGGTGGAGTCCAGCTTTCGGCTCAGCTTCCTTGAGGTGTTGAGTGACAGACAGCTCTTAGGGATGGATAGAAAGAGGCTTTCTACAGGTGCCTGGCTTGGAATCTAGAGACCTGGGCACTGTTTCTAAGCCTGATGCATGCTATCGTATCTACGGAGCAGGACTTTCTCTTTGGGCTTCAGTTTTCACAAGCACAGAGTGTGAGTGCTGGACAGTGACAATATTCAGTGATCCTAACTTGTGTCAGATGATCCTCACTCCCTTGAACACTGTAAGTCACTGTAGGGTACTTCTCTTTCTGGGAACCAGCTGCCCTCCCTCGACCCTCTTCGAGGTTCCTGGCCTGCAAATGGCCTTGCATGGCCTGGCTGCAGGGTCCTGCTGGAGAGGAGGGGATAGGCAGGTACTCACAATCTTCTCCCGAGTAGCCAATGACAGTGTCAGGCTCTGGCCCTTTCCCGAAGTCATTCTCGGCCTGGACCCGGATCTCATAGGGCACATAGACAGGGGTCTGCCCCACCACATAGCGAGAGCCCCACACCGTCACGTTGTTCCATGTTTCTCGGGTCTCCCTCCGCCTCCACTTGACAATGTAGCGCAGGTTGGGTCCAAAGGCAGAAGTGGCATTCATGGGCTGCACAGGGACAGACAGACAGGCAGGGTAAAGGGTGTGAGGAACTGAGTCCACTATCACCCTCTCTTTCTGTACTAAGTCTCCTACCCGCCCCAAACCTGTCCAACACTGGCCAGCTCCTCAAACAGCGCTGCTAAGTGTCCCAAAACCCGGAGTGGGGAGGTTTATTTATTTATGTTTTGACACAGGGTCTCGCTATGCAGTTCAAATTGGCCTTGAATTCCCTAAGGGGCACAGGTTGGCCTCGAACTCATAGTGATCCTCCTGCCTCAGTCTCCCAGCATGTACAGTTTCCATAACTAAAGCTTTATCCGAGACACCCACATTTGTCAGTACAAAGGAAGCAAAGGCTTTATTTTTAGTAAATGTTCCTTTCTAGGACAAGAGCCAGTACAACAAAAGCCAAACAGTGAGCTGGCCTTCTCCAAAGTTAGCAAAGGATGATTCTTGGCTTTATTTTGGTATACTGCCTGCTGATGAGCCCAAAATTCCAGAACTGACATTAGTTCTACCTAATCCATGTAGGTCTGTCCCGCAGTTTGCAAAAGATCAGGGTCCTTTAAGGGGTGCAAGCTTTTTCTTTATGCTCTAAGAACCTGGCCCAGCAATCACACTGTCAGAGTCTAGCAGGCAGAGCTGGAGGCCCTATGTTCTGATCTTGGGTTCGGCCTGGAGCTGTTACTGTGTTTGGCCAAGGTGGCTGGAGACCAGGCCCTCAGAGAGACAGAGATGGCGGTGATTCCAAACATCTCCCGTCTCTTGGTTTCCATTCCTTGGGGCTGCAGCTAATATGTCGGTGGCTGCCTTTGTATCTCCCAGACTCGGAAGTAGTTTGGAAAAAAAATCATTTGGAGATCATGCATCCCAATTCTGGTTTGGAAAATGTAGCCAATGAAGAAGGGACTTGTCTCTCCTGGCTGGGAGGCAGCCCCTTCATGTCATCTAGCCACTCTGTGACCAACAAAGAAGAGCCTCCCTGAGCAGGTACCAGACACTTACTAGCATTCTCTGTAAGCTCTGCTAGACTGGATTTGGTTATTTCTATTTCTGTCTTCTCTGGTACCTGTTCCTGAACACACCTCCTATTTGGTTTTTGAATGCCCAACTCAGAGAAGGGCAGCTAGCAAAAGCAGCTCTAAAGCCTGGCCACCACTGTGGTTCGGGGTGCAAGGAGCGAGGATTCCTGTGTGTGGGCCAGGTGGGGAGCGCCTCCTACCGTCCACGTGATCTCCATGTTGTTCTTCCTGGTCCCCTCTCCCTTCACATCACTGGGATTGGACTCTGGCGCTGGAACCCAAACAGATACAAAGTTGAAGTCCAGTGTGTGCCTTTCCAGGGGACAATAAGCGACCCATCTTCCTCACCCATGCTGGTTCTTTTTACGCTCTGGCTTTTCTCAGCTTCTGTACGTCCCAAACACCCTTTTTCTCATGTGCATGATATGCCTTGCTACCTAAGACTAAAACTCCCAAAGCAGAGCTAATTTCCTTTCAGTTTTAATCTCTTACTAGACAGCATTTATCGTGGGCTTTCTACACTGTGGGTGGTCAATAAGCCAACTCAATGCAGATTATCCCCTCATGGATTATCCACTCAATATGCTTCAGATCAGACTGCTTTATCCCTGGCATTTCATATCTTTTTTGGGAGCATCTCCATCCTGGATGAGTTTCTGTGATTCAGAAAGCTAAACACTTCCTAAGTACATCAGGAGAAGGAATCTGATGTAACACTGGATTATACATTTCCACTGTGCATCTTTGCCACAGTTCTTGACTTTTCAGCAGACAATCAAGAACCATTAATAATATCAGGACTACTAAAAGTGGCAGTTAATATTTGCTGTATGCTCACTATATGCTGGGCATCACAGTAAGCACCCACCATGCATTTTCTCGCAGTAGCTCTGGGACACAGATGTCATGATTATCATCCTGTCTCAGATGTGGGGTGGAGCCCTGGAGAAGTACCTTGCCCAAGTTCACCTGGCTGGGAGAACTCAGCAGGAGTTCAAGGTGCCTGGCTCTGAATTATCTCCGGTGCCCCCAAATACTCACGCGCTCCACTGGTTCGGTACCGCTCGGAGGGGAGGCTGGGGTGGCTGCTCCCGACCTCATTGATGGCAATGACCCGGAACTGGTAGTTGACATAGGGGGACAGCTGGAGGACAGCTGAATTAACACTGCCTGGGAATTTGGAATGGTCATGCCAGACGCCTGGTTGGAATTGGTCCTCTTCAAACTGGACGATGTAGTCTGTGTGGGCAATGGAGACAGGGTTACTTTGGGTTTGGGTTAGTGACACCCCACTTTAAAGCATTTTCTTCCTGGCTTCCCTCTGTCTGTATAATCTCCCTTAGGACACACAGAGGCATGGAAAGCAATCAGGGAGACCAGGCAGGGCACACACCAGGTGGGGCAAGGAAGGGGGCCAGACCGCAGGGAAAGCTCATGCTATGGAGGCCGTTAGCAGCCTTCTTTCTGGCTGTGGAGCCCAGGCCCTGCGCTAACCTGTGATGGGGCTGTTGTTATCATCTCCTGGAATCCAGGTGAGCCTCACGCTCCGCTCAGCCAGGTCAGTGAGCTCCAGGTCCCGGGGTCGGTCTGGCCGTCCTGGCAGCAGGAGGGGAAGACATCACACAGGATTCCTGAGTTTGAGCCGAGCCCTCCGTGTGGCAGCCCAGTCTTGGACAGTTCCCTCGTAGGTGTAGGTCCCCACTGCCAGCAGGATCCAATCCCAACTCGCCTTGGAGGCTGGCACGGGAATCACCCCCTTCCCTTTAGGGGCCCCCCAAATTCTACCCCCACCCAAAATAATGTCACAGAGTGTAGAGCAAAGGCATGAAGAGAAAACAGGGAGCACCATCCAGTCTCTGAGGATGTCCTCAGAACAGTGTTTGGAAAAGGTTCCTTCATCAGCACAGCTGGGGCAGAATGCGGGATTTCCTCTCCTTCTCTAATAGTTAGTCACCTTCTGCTCTGTGTTCTAGGGTTGAGTGAGCGGAACAGAGCCAAGGACAGGTCTGCAGCACTGAGCATGGCAAAGGCCAGGGGAAGGGGGAGAAGAACCAGATCGCCAGCCAGGAGGAGGCATAGATTTAGAGAGGGGTCCAGCAGGAGAGGGCAGCATCTTCCAGTAGCGCTGATCCCCTGGGACTGCTTGCTTCAGTGAGGACAGCTGCCATCCTGGCCTGGGTGTAAAGCCATCCAGCCACTAACTGTTGGGGTAGCCAAGGTACTTTTCTATATCTCGGCTCCCCAAATAGCTATTTCCATATCCTGGCTGGTTATGGAAGGATACAGAAGGTGAGTCACTGAGAATGCACCGGTTTGTGTGTAGGTGTGTGTGTGTGCATGTGTGTGGGCAGCTCTAAATGGATACAGAGTAACAGATGTGGGGAGGTTGTGAACAATGGCTCTATAGATCCCAGGGAGGGAGCAGACTACCCTGAGCTCTGAGGCCAAGCGGGGGTGAATAGGCCCTGCTAAAAGAGGGGTGATGTGGCCAACTTAAGGAGAGAGGGCGAAGAGTCAGCTAAGGAGTTCTGGGGTCAGCTGACAGAAGCCCAAGGCAGAGTGTGCCACCAGCTCAGAGAAGGCGGACACAGACACCCGAGAGGAAGTCCCACACCGTGGGGTGTGCAGGACGCTGTCAGGAGCCTACAGACTGCAGTCTTCTCCTGTGGCACCTTCTTCCTCTGGCTCCACCCCCAGGTGCCTGGAGAGGCCACTGGCCAGGGCCCGGGATTAGTAGGAATTACCTTTGGGCAGGGCAGCCAAACGGTTAGTTGGAGTGGCCTGATCAGCTGCAAAGGGAAGATGGTTATGCAGGTTAGCAGGTTACAAGGGCAGAGGGGTGCTGGAAGAATGGGGATGGGCGGCCAGGACCAGACAGGTGCCCCTGGGCGAGGCAGTGCTGGCACAGCATGACCCTTCCTTCTGCTGAGAGCCTCCCACCACACAGGCTGTCTCTGCTTCTGCCATGGCTAATTTTCTTCCCATCCTAATGTGCCTGGGTCCACCAAATACCACCACCTCTGTCCTCACTGCAGGAGGGACAAAGCCACATATTCTCAGTAAGATGCCCAGAACAAGGACAGAGTAGGGCAGGGACAGGCCACCTTCCCCTTGGCATGGGCTGACTTAGTGTTTGTAGTCCAGCTTGGACACAGGACAAGGAGAGATGGAGTTAGCTGGCTCAGTGCACGGCACATTGAAGGAGGAGCAGCACGGGAGTGGGGAGGAGGGTTTGCAAGGGTTTCTGGGAATACAGACAGAAAACTCAGCCCAGCTCTGGTTCTGGGTCGTGTTAATTGACTTAGTGGAGTTAGCTGTAAGGGACTGTTGGGGTAAAGAGGATCACAGCAAGAAGTACCCTCCTTCACTCTGCTACTCTGGTGTGCCTGAGTTGGGCCTGGGGAATTAATTACACACCAGAGAAGGGACTGCTATGCTGCCCAGAGTTTGTCCTAAAAGCAGCAGTTCCTGAGCCCAGAGACCGGAAGGCAGGAGGTCACCCTGCCTGGCCAGTTGCTGACCACAGGTGCTGCCCTTGGGACCATGAGGAGCTCACTGCTGGTCTGGCTGCTGTGGAGCAGGGAGAAGGGGACATCAGTGCTTGATGTGGGTGGTGGCAGTTACCTAGCACAGTGAGGTGGGCCTTGGCCAGGTCTTGGTCCAGCTCGGTGCTGGCCACACATGTGTAACTGCCCTGGTCTCTCTCTGCCACACCAAAAATGGTCAGGGAGTCATCTTCTTTCTTCATCCTACAGAAGCATGGTGCAGAGCATGTCCGCTGTTCTTCCCACACAGGGAGATGGGAAGCCACAGCTGCTCCTAGGGGACACCCTCCTGATACTCTGAGAAATGCAAGGTCTGCAGGGTGCCTGGGAGCACTCATCCCAACAGGTGCACAGCATGCGGAAGGAAGAAAGTGGTCCTCAAGTCTGACTGCACGTCAGAAATCCTCAGAGGGGACTTGAAAAGCTATCATTACCTGAGCCTCCCCACGAGGCCACTGAAGTCTGGGGGAGTGGAGGGTCAGGCCAAGGTAGGGCAAGAGCGGAGAGCCATGCGTGGCACGCTACAGTGGGCAGGGTGGGCTGGGGTGGGGTCAACTGTGCTCTCCACTCGAGAATAGCGGTACTGCACACAGGTCTTCCGGGGACATAGAACAGGAAGAAAAGGGAGACTAGGAGGAAACAAAGGACAGGGAGAGAAGGAGAGAAGGAGGGAAAAGTGAAAGACTGGGGAAGAGAGGAGAAAATGAAGAGGAGAGAGATGGAAGACAGAGCAGCAAGGGTCTCATAGGAGAGAGGGGAGAGGGATGTAGGGTGAGGAGGACAGTCTGTCCCAAGGAGGGGAAGTCACCATGGCTACCGCCCCTCCTCAGTAACTTCTTGGAGACTTGCAAGACCAAGGAGCAAGGGAAACCAAAGGGCCCGACGCTAGCACTAGGAGGAGGGAAGGGAGGGCAGGAACCTGTTCCCAATGTAGAGCGGCTCGTCATCCTTCAGCCAGGAGACAGTGAGTCTCAGCGAGGGGTCATGCTTCACTCGACACTCCAGCTGCACTGTGGTGCCTCTCTTGACAACCTGATCCTCGGGCATCCGGAAGATCCTGGTGGGGTCTGTGCAGGCATCCAGGGAGCTCACCACTGGGCCACTCTCCGCCCACCACCCTCATGTGGCCACACCATGTGATATGCCTGACCTTGAGAGTATGGGTCTGCCCCAGAAGGTGGCAGACAGAAATAGCATGTGGGGATAATGCTTCTTCCTGGCTTGGGCCTATGATACCACTTGAGAGGTGGTAGTGGGAGCTGGTACAGACAGTGGCTTCCTGGGGCCGTCTGGATTGGGCTGATAATAAGCTGTCTCAGAGTCCCCAGCACCTGGGTCAGCTGGCAGCCCCAGGGGACATGCAAACACATGGAGGAGCCCTCCCAGGATTAGGTGGGACATTTTCAAGGGGGACACATAACTGTGAATTTAGCCTTCTCTTCCAGCCGCAGCTACTCTCTATGAACCCTGTCCTTTACCTTTGACCTCCAGGCGGACTTGGTTTTCAGCCTTGCCTAGGATGTTGGTGGCAACACAGGTATAAATGCCTTGGTCCTCTTTGCGGATCATCTTAATTTCCAGGCTGCCATTCTCATACACATGGTAGTTGCCACCATCCAGGTTGCTTCCCTGTCCATTCTTAAACCTCACAACAGAGCAACAGAACACAGCATACTGAGAAAGGACCAGCCTAAAGGAGACTACAGGGGCCATGGAAGGAGCCTCAGGTTGGGATCTGGAGTCATAAGCCTTGCAGGGTCTGCCTCTGACCACTAGGGGGCCCTGGCAGGCCTCAGTCCTCTGGGCCTCAGTTTCCTTCTGTGTAAAATGCTGGGGTTGACAGAGATCTCTGGCCACTTCCCTCCCAGGTTTGATGCTTTAAGGGTCCCAAGTTTTGGTGAGTACTATAGGTCACATGGGAACCAGAAAGTGACACAGAAGACCCCCTGGTGGAGGATCTCTCTCCAGGGACTTACCATCGGAGGGTAGGAATAGGAGATCCAAAGAATGGGCAGTCCAGCCGTGTCCGGTTGTAAAGGATCACACGAATGAGCTGGTTCCGGGGTGACAGCATCCGAGGTGGTACATCTGAAATTCCCAGAGTGCTGACAGTGGGTGTGGAGTTCCATTCTTCTATGCTTTACTCTTGGTCTAATTTCTGCACATCCTCCCTAACTGCAGCTTTCCAGGCACCCAGACCTTCTCCCTATCAACCTTCTCTCCTAGGTGAGGAGGGAGAAAGTTTGCCCCTTCAGTCTGCCCTACACCTATTTATATCCCCTCTGGCTTAGCAAAGGTTTTCCCACAATTACCCTGCAGGCTCAGTAGCTGCCTCTCCGCAGCTCTCTTCATGCTCAGGGAGTACAGTGAGCATATTCATGGCCATTTCCCACAGGTGACACCAGGGACAGCATGGTGTCAATATGGACACACCAAGCACATGAGCCAGACTTGTGCTCTCGTATCAGAGGAAGGAAGGGACCAATTGCTGATGCAGGTCATGCTGCTCAGCCATCTTTGAGGCATTCAAGTCCTCTGTCCTTCCCAGAAGCCTCATCTTCAGTGTCCATGATTCCCCCAACATGCTACCCTCGCCCCATCCAGTCTTTCTAATCTTCAGAGGATGAACTGCACCCAGGACGAGGCCAAGACCTTGGGGAGACTGCACTGCAGGAAGGTTGAGGGGCAGTGGGAGGACTTACCCAGCACGCTGACGAAGGCATTGGCCAGCAGGTAGCCGTGTTCATTGGAGGTGTTGCACTGGTACACTGCTCTGCTGCTGATCTGTGTGTCCCGGAAGATGATCGTGTCACCAGCCACCTCACGGTTTGGGTTGGGTGGTGCCGCTGGAGTTAAGAAGAGACAATCCTCGTGAGGAACAGAGCTTGGAAGACTGAAGGGTTCTGGGAACGTGGCCAGGACCCAACGTGTGCCAGGGTGCTGTGGGAGAGGCAGAATTGGGTGGGACCTCGCTTCTGGTCTTAGTACTGGTCAAATTGTGTGACCTGTGAACCTACTGGACTCCATTTCTCAGTCTGTCCAGTGGGGATATAAATCCACGTTCAACCCAGCTAGCAGCTGTGGTTGAGAACAGAAGATCTGGAAACAGAAACTTTAATAACAAAAATCTAACCATGTCACCTACAGCATTGTTTAGACCCCGTAAGCTTCCATTTCTTGGTCTGCAGAATGGGAATAATGCATCCCCCATAGGAATTTTGTGACAATATCCTGAGATTTATGCATTTATGAAATGATTAGCACAGATCCATCAACCCTGTATTATTGTGGCTATTATCATTGTAATCCAGGGTTCATATACTTAAATGTGTTTTGAAAAGGATAAAGCAATGTAAAAGGGACAGAACCCGCCACCTCACCATCCTCAGAGCAGAACTTTCCTCAAACGCACACAAAGTGAAACCGATAAGTCAGTGCCTGACACAAACTGCAAGTCCTGTTGCCAAAGCTCCCAGTTTTCCCTGGAAACCTATTCCAGGGACGCAAGGGCATTTCCCACTCACAGCTCTCTGCATGCTCCTGGCCAGGGATGCAGAGAACACAGGCTGGGCACAGCTGTGGGGACTTGGTCCTGTCCACATGTCACTCTGGGGCAAATCAATAAATCTTTCTGCTCCTCATTTCTCACACCTACAAAATAGGTAAACATCACTCTCATCATCCCCTATTCTATATAAGCTGTAAAAAAAATATTTTTAGAAAACTACAGGAAGGCCATTTTTCTCTTGAGCCACTAGAGATTTCTGTCTTTGAGCTCAGAGGAGGAAGCAGGTGTCTGGTGCTGCGGGTGCCACTCCGTAGACAGTAAGTCTGCGCCCAGAACTAGAATCAGCAGAAGCTAAATGACAACATGGTGGGCACCCTTATCACACGGCCTCAGGTCCCCACTCAGCAAAAGACACGAAGACAGCAAGGCCAGCAACTCAGCTGCCTGTTGGCCTGCCTGGCAACCTCAGGCCACCACTTTCTGGTCAGTCTCTCCCCTCAGATGCTCCCGTTTACAAAAGGTGTCCTTTCCAGGGCTGATCCTCCAGGACCTCACTTACCTGTCCGTGCTGTGAAGCTCAGCAAGCCCTGCTCTACCTGCAAAGTGCTATCAGGACAGAGAGACCTGCGGGCGGCACAGCAGGCCACGCCTATGGTCAGGGCTAGGGTAAGGAGGTCTTGTGCTGGGCTTGGCGAGGGCTTCTGAGCCACGTGATCTCAGTCACTCAGTGTACTAATTAGAGCCTCCTCTCCCCAGCTTTCATGTTTCAGATTGGAGAGGTAATGGGGTACAGTAGCTAGCACCGGGCCTGGCACACAAGAAAAGTCTAAAATGGGAGAGAGAGAGAGCTCCTCTCTCTATGCTGCCTCACTGTCTTCTTCCATCAGCTGCTGCTCGGGTTGGATTCTGAGTTCTTGCCTATGTTTTTGTCCCATTTGGTTGATGTCACTGTTTATACTTCCTCTGACTCTTCACAGAAAGTAATGACTGGAAATTAAAAGGGATAAAAGCAAGTGGAGAGAATATAATGTGAAAACCTGACCAAGACCACGAGCTGGAAGAGGTTGTAGAGTCCCCTATTCCGACCACCTGGGCAAAGGAAAATTTCTCAACGTCTGTGCCGACTTTGTGCCTGCATCCATGTATCTCTGCTCTTGTGGGAAAATTCTTCCTCATGTCCAACCATAATCTTTCACGTTGTCACGAAACCCTACCTCCTAGCTTGCCTTATCAGAGAGGATGGCTTTGTTAACAATGACAAGGGCTTACCAAGAGCTCCTTAAGTGCCAGCCATTCCTTAGAGCCCAAACCCTCAGAGATGCAGCTGCAGGCTCAGACCTACAGTTAGGCTCTGCAGTTGTTATGGAGTAGGGAGCAAAGACTGAAGAAAACCCAAGGGAGCAGAAATCCTCTAAACTGGAACTAGAACCACAGGGCTCCAGCCTCCCGCTCTTTCTTATACAAAGATGTGGTAGGTTCCCCATCTCTTGCAGTGTCTAAAGAGGTGAGATGCTGGCAGGCAGAAGCCCATGGCATCTTCTCTTCCTTCATCCTTAGTACACACAGGCAGTGACAGGCATCTGGAACCTTTGACAGGACAGAGAGGAGAGTCAGGTAGGACAGCAGCTTGTTACTTACACTGTAAAGGCTCCCCATTCACCATCCACTGGACAGTGGGTTTGGGGTTCCCATTGGCTCTGCACACCAGTCTGCCATCTTCTCCAGGAGCCAAGATCAGGTTCTTTGGTTCATCCAACCAGTAGGGAGCAGCTGGAAGACAAGTCAGGCACAGGCGGGGAGTTAGCTGGCATAGGGCAGGCAGGGCAACCCAGACAGGCTCCCTGGAGGAAGGCAAGAGCCCAGGTCCAGTATCAGACTCTTGAGTACTCGCCCAGGCTTGTCCTCATGGTAATGGTCTAGTCAGGCCTGCACATGACTGGTGTGGCTGTGCAGACCCCCATCCATCTACTCAAATTCACAGAACTGTAGTTCTAAAGCAGGGCTGCTCAGGAGAATCCTCTGAAGGCTTTTTAAAAACCAAGCATAGCACCATGTGGTAGGGTTCACCATGTGGTGGTACTCAGCTTGGGCAGGAGTAGCTAATGCCTGCAGAGGTCCTGGGTGTTTATGATGTGCTTTGATCATAGCACTGGGGGCACTCGGTAGCTCCTTCCGGATTTCCACTGTTGCAAGATCAGACCATCTAGAAAAGGTCTCATATTCATCTTTTTAGGCACTGAACTTTGTTTAGGGCAGTTCTGAGCTAGTTACCCATTTTAATTATTAGGATCTTTTAGATCAAATTCTCAAACATCTTGTTACATGACTTCCCCCAAAAGGCTAGAAACCTCCAAAGTGTGTGGTTTTAAAACCAGGATCACAAGTCCAATCAACTGTATGCTAAGAAAGTTCTTATGATCTGGCCCCAGATGTCACTGTTCCAATCATCTAGCAGCACTGAGTTGAGAAGTGACGTGAGTCACCCACATGACCAGGACCCATGAAGACAGGTGCCCTGCTGCTTGCTCAGGTGGGCCATCTCTGCTTTGGGGGAAGAAAGTGATTTAAAAGAAATTTGGGGCCATGATGACTCCCCATCCTTCAAAAGAAGCACAATGCCATGCACACATACACAGACAGCATGAGGCTATGACAACAGGTCACAGACAATGATGCAAAATGAAAGAAAAAAAAAAAAAGGCTCTGAGAATGATCCAGATGGGCCACGGGTGAAACTCACCTGCAGAGGGAGCCCTGGCACCAAGGAAAACTGGGTGATGGTCAAAGGAGAACAACGCTGCCCACTCCCTCACACACACACACACACACACACACACACACACACACACACACACACGTGTGTGTGTACACACAGCCTTGTATCCAGGGTAACACTATCTGTGGCAGGTTGCCATTCCCATCAACCACTGCACTGCTTTAGCCTTGTTCAGTCTGCCCCCCCCAACCATGCTCAGAGGGAAGAGTGGTCATGGTGTTTAGGGTTGGCAAAATAATCATAATGAGAAATACACACAACGTACCCTTTACTCTCACCGAGATCGTGTGCCGGATACTGCCCATCTTGTTGGAGGCCAGACAGAAATACTCCCCCGAGTCCTCCTCTGAGACATTGGTGATACGCAGAGCCTTGTTAAAGTTCTCAAACTTGGCTTTGTCAGACGGAAGGTCCCCACCTTTCTTGTACCATGCGATGTCTGGTGTTGGGCTGGTAGAGAGACCGAGCAGGAAGCAAAGGACTCATTACTAAACATGGCCTCTGACCTCTAGTGAGCTTGGAACACCAGGTGTCCTGAAATTACCTGGGCCCAGGAGGATGGAGGATCTCAGAGAAACGGTCTTTCCTATGCAGAGGAGGATGCTCAGCCACAGAGGGCCCAATGGACTAAGCTCCCAGAAGACCTACTGCACACATTTGATGCCCAACCACCTCCTTTCCTCATTTTGTAAACAGAGATGGCTGAGAAGTCTGCTCATTAGGGGTTTCCCTGCTTGGTAGTCAGTTTCCCTTTCTGCTATCACCCCAAAGGCAGCAAGAACAAGCGCAGACAAACTCCCACCCCATCCTCCTGAAAGGTGGATAGAAGTGGGGTGCAAACTGTACATACACCCCAGAAGCGATGCACTCTAGCAGGAGGTCCATGCCGCGAAGCACCATCTGACTGCTTGAGGTACCCTGGGGATACATGAAGCTGGGTGTTCTTTCTGCAACTCCTCGGGCTGAAATAGGACAGAAGAGCCTCTTGTGAATCTCTTGCCTGAAGGGTGACCTAGATAGGCCAAAGCTGTCCAGCCACAGAAGTGTCATCGTGTTCCCTGCTGGACCCTCCCAGCCCAAACCACCCCAGCACATCAGTAAGAGAAGTGTGTTAGGAAGCCTAGGTTCCTCAGCCCCACCAGCACATATGTATGACCATCTCTAAGATCTGAAAGGTCCTGCAGAGAGGAGTTCAGCAAATCTGTCTCAGGGGTGGGCGAGGGGCTTCTGAGCAGTGAGAGGTCAGCTCCCTGAGCATCTTATATTGGGGTCAACAGGTCACTGTGACAGTCCCCAGGCAAGGATGTGGAAGACAGAGGGCCCCCAATGGAGCCACAGGACAACAAGCAACTCACTCTTTGAGATCCTGAAGACAAGAGCTGGGAGAAGCCCCTAATAAACAGTAGGACATGTAAGGAGAGTTATTAATGGCTTAGCAAAGACATGACGAGAATTAAGGAGCAGAGATGACAAGAAATCACTCTGGGCCCAAGACCATTTCTGCTGCCTCACTAATGACACTGGGAGGGGGTTGGGAGGAGGGTGTTAACAGATACTGGGGGAGGGGTGAGAGGGAACCAAGATGGATGGGGTGATCTACAATTCAACTAGGCAGGAACGGCCATAGGGCTGGAATCAATGAAGTTCCTGCAGGTTTCCGAGGCCAGCTGGCTCCCGACAGACAATGTCAAGATGGCCATCGTCACGAAGGTCTGAGTAGAGCCCACTTAGTGGAGGCTCATCTCTCTCCCAGAGCTCTTTTATGGAAGTGGAAAAGATGAATGGAGAAAATGAATGGAAAAAAGCAAGTTTTTTTCAACCAGAAACCAAGGAAAAATGGAGGTGACACCCTCTGCCCAGGGGGTGTGATTATAAAGAAGACTTAAAGATAAAAACATGGGTGGAGCCTGTGCCTGTGCCTGTTTAATTTGTCTAGACTCAGCTGGTTAAGTGGGAGGTCATAGGAAGACAGAGCTGCCAGGGGCTGGGGGCCTTGGAGGCGCCTGAAGTTAGAACAAAGTGTTTGTTCCAGGGGTTATGGTACTGGTGGCGGGTGGAGAGGATGCTAGGGACTCTGTCTCTGTAATTGGTGCTTCCTGACATAGCTTGCTGGATTAACTGGTGCCTGGCTGGACCTGGGCAGCTCCTGTTGGAGGGGTGCTCAATTTCTCTCTCCCTCAGTCACGGTGGAGTGCGTATCACAGACTTTGCTTCTATTTTGCCCTTTGTCTAGGGGAAAAATGATGAAACATATGTTGGGGTATTTGAGCTGCTGGCACAAAACATGGGGCAACAATAAATGTTTGTAGGATAATTGAATTAAAGGGGGAAAACAGAACAACAACAACAACAACAAGTCGGCAACAGTTTACCCCACACATTAATATCTCTTTTTGTACAGGTCTTCATCTGCTCAGCAGCACACACACAACAGTAACTCCTGAAGGGTTAATTGTTATGTGGTTAATTGGTTACTGCCTATCCATACAGCGCTCATGACAGCCAGATCCCACAGTTAAGAAAGCACTTCCTCCCCCCATCACCAAGGTCACCAAAACAGTCAAGCAACACAAAGTCCAGGATACTATAAGGAGAAGGAGATTCCAGGGCAGGAGGCTCTCATGCCAGGCTGTCTGTTGAGAGCTGGGAACTCTGTGATGACATGGAAGAGTCCCAGTTCAGTGGTCTTGTTTGTTCCAAGCAGGGACTAATCTGCAGAAACCAATCTGTGAGACTGTGGACACTTGGTTCACACCATAGCATGCAGCACCACAAGCACAGATGACCAGCAAAGCAGTGAGGATGGAGAGGAGGAAAATCAGCTTGGCATCCTGCTGTAGTGCTGTGTCACTCAGTCACTGTGACCAGGAAGAGGCTGGAGCAATATTGCATTTAGGGGATGTGGGCTGCAACCCCTGAGGTATCTCAAGGATAGAGAAGCGACTGGGAATGAGCCAAGTTCAGAGAAAAGGAAAAGAACAAAAACAAAAACAAAAACACAGTCCAGAAGTCAGAGGTAATGGTCAAAGCTCAATTGGAGGCATTTATTAAAGGCCAAGCCAGTGAGTGGACAACTCTGTCTGTATCACCATGATGTTTAACACAATGAACTTGATGGGAAGGGGGAACTACTCCATTTCCAATAGAGGAAACTGAGGTAATGTGAGCTCATCTTGTGAGCTCAGGTCACAAGCTCATTAAGTTTTAGATTCTGCATTATTTAGTATCAAAACTTGTGTTTTGTACCTACTTTAAATTGCCTGTCTAAAGATGGAAGCCCTGCTTCTGACAGTCAATGGTGTGACTTTTTAAAAAATCCAAACCAACAAAAGTCAAATCCAAGGACAAAAGAGGTAAAGGGGAGAGATATTTTTGTCTTGCGAGCTGCTCGGTGAATCTGCCGTCATGCTTCACTCTTCTCTTCTCAGTTAAGACTCCGCCTTTCCTCCACGGCTCTTAGATAAACTTGGACCCAAGCTGGTGAAGAAATAGCCACAGCTCTTCTGGAGAGGCTCAGAGGCAGGTGATTGGATTTTTTTTCAGTACTGGAGATTGATCCCAGGGCTTTCACATACTGAGCTGTATCCCCAGTCCTTCTGTACCATCAGCATCATCATCACCAAGTTCCCTAGGCTGGGTTCGACTTGTGACCCTCCTTCCTTGGCCTCCTAAGGCACTCGGTTTATACATGTGCCACTCTGCTTGGCTCAAATGGATCTCAAGGGTATAGAAAGTTTGCCAGTCAGGGTGAACAAGACATCATTCAAGAATGAGAAGCCTGGTACTGAAGGGTAGGTCATGAAGAAGTGAGGTCAGGTGCAGCAGTGGGAATTTACATGAAAATCTCAGCAGGATGATCCAGTGGGTGGCTTTGGGAGCCACTGTCCTTAAGAGACTTCCTTCCCTGGAAAAGCAGGCACAGGAACTGCCAGGGCACAGCTAATTACTGAATGAAACTCTACACAGTAGAAGATGTGCGTCTCTACCAGTGTGTCAGGCCAGCCTCTTTCACCACAAAGGTGGGGTCCCTGGAGAGCCTGTCATTGCTGCTGCTGTTCTGTCACTCTTTCTGGTCGACAAGGCGGGGGGTGGTGGTATCTGACTTAATATCCAACCAACCCCCAAGTCCAGCTGCCAAAGCTCATGTCTGTGTGGATACAGCAGAGCTGCCTGCCTGGGTGGACCCAACTGACCTATATCATTCTTCTCCCTCCTCACAAGCTGTGGCTGAGTGGGTCCACATGGTTCACCAGAGAATGTCAAGAGATGACACCAACTCAGACTCACTGGCCTTAATAGTCCAGTGCAGATCGCCCCCTGATCACCCCTGCTGGAGGTAAGGTTAAGAATACTGAGAACCTCAGCTGCTCCTTTTGCCAAGTGCTGCGGTGTCAGCAGCACGTGAGCTCGATGAATCAGATGTATCTCAAGAGTTCTGCCAAAACCAGCTTTTAGGGGAAGCTCAGCTTACATTCATACTGCTTTTTTGTCTTTGATTCTCAGAACAGAGGACCAGAGAGCCATGGGAGCTGGATTCCTGGCATATCATCCATCTCTTTGGCTCAAGGAATGGCTGACCCGAGGCACCCAGAAAATGAGGAAAACTCTTTAAGAATATCTGATACTGCTCACTGCCAGGAAATTTATTCTGCAAGTCTAGCTCAAATCCCCCCTGCAATATTTGGAGCTTTCTTCTTACCTAGTTTCTCAGCTGAGGATCTGGACAGCTTGTTTTTCTAGGCTACCCCAAATTTCTCCCTACATAGTGTTTTCCCCTTCTAAGTGTGCCTTTCTCCCCTTGCTCTGTGTCTTTCTTAATTTCAGAAGCAGATCAACTATAATAATATGGTCAACACAAAATGCTTTCCTCTAGAGCCAATAATGTATCATACTTAACAAGCATTGACAATGTGTCCAACACCTTACTAGGAACCACAAGCGCTTTACCCTGTTTAAACTCCACAGCCACCCTATGATGCTGGTGATGTGCCCATCCGGCAGATGAAGAAACCGAAGCTAGAAGCATTAAGTGACGTGTATGGTGTCTGCTTTGTCCTGGAGCCTGGACTCCACTCGAGGCAGTCTGCCTCCAAGTCCCCACCCTGCCCCCCTGCTCTCCTGCTGGGCAGCCTCTCCTGCCACTCAGCCCATCAGGGTGAATCTGTCCATGTTCAGGGGACACCAGACCACATCAGAATAAACTAGAAGCATGGGGCAGTTCAACTGCTACAAAAGAGACAGGTTGTATTTCAGCGAGAGGCAGAGAGATGTCTGCCATTGATGGAGCCCACTTTGCTCGCCTCTTGTACTTGAGAAGGAATTTTTCCTTTCTCCCCTTTTAACTTTCTGTTCCTTTCCAGAACCATCAGTCTCACTGTTCTTTGTTCAGTGTGTGCCTCCTTTTGAGTTTATATCCTTTCCAGCAGCTTCCTTCTTGGGCCAACCCTGTCTTACCTCGGTTCAAGACCAGGGCTCAGTCTTTGTGGAAGTTTTGTTGGTTTTGCAGTCTCAGGTAGGTCTCATGACAGCCTCTCATTTTCTTGTAATATCAACACTGGTTACAAACTGGTGTAAGTGGCTGGAATCACTCCATATAATTCAGTTGATTAAAAAAAACCTGTGCACATTTCCTTGCATAGTTTATCTTATATAAAGCGAGGAGCTTGGGCCAGATGGTCTCGGAGGGACCTTCTGGCTCTGACATATTCTGGCTTTCAGAATACTTTCTATAATAGATTACTTGGAATCCAATTTAGAGAAAGGCACATTCCACACCAGTGCTCTGGGGCTCTTGACACAATAGTGGTTGGCCCTGTTATCTTGAAAACAAACAATGCCCAGACCCCGACAGGGGTCCCCCGCTTTTCCAAGCAGTAAGGAGCAGTAAATCTCTTTGGCAGAATCTCAGTGTGGTCCTAGCTGCTAGGTGCCAAGCTGGAATCTTTGCCTGGCTCGTGTTTCCTCACCCCATCCCCCCTCTAGACACCAGCACAGCTTCTATTAGCTCATCACAGTCTGGACACTTCCTAATTATCTGAGTCCACAGTGGTCCTCTTGGGGACCTGCAGCCTCTGATTCCAAGACATAATGGATGATGGGGGCCAGCTGCCTCACCAGAGCCCTCAAATGACCGTTCCTCTGGTAGCTTGAGGAAAACAAAACATTCTCAATCCATGGTGAGGGTAACTTAGGTGTGGAAGCAGCCAATCCCCCTCTGGATCAGACTGGACTGCTGCTTGCAGGGTGAGTTAGTATATCCCACTGGAAATGTCCTGTGACTTGCAAGTACAGACTGGTAGGCACTGGAGGCCCAGGAGAGGGAGAAGCACAGATGGTCCAACGTTGCTTTTACTCACCTGAAAAGAGAATTCGGAGCTGGACTCTTCCTCTCATTTTCCATGTGGGTTTTAAGGAGACCTGGGGTCTACCAGTGGAGCTGTACTCTCAGGAATTGAGACTATGCCACACAGCAGGCAATTCTTATCCAGACTCTGAGGAACTAAACTGAAAGCTGTGTATGGTCTTTAAACACTGGCAGGAGCCAGGCCGCGTGCATCCCCTATTCTCAGAGCCTCTCCACCCACCCACCTCTGCCACCTGCACTTCTGCTGAAGTCCCTCTTGGTGGCAGTGACCAATGATTCCCAAGAGCTCAGCAAATTGAGGTTCCCAAGTTCAGGAAGACCGTGCCACTGTGTGAACCACCTCAAACTCCCACATCAGCCACCTTCCTGTCAATGCGCAGTGTCCTAAGGTGTCACCTATCAGCCCTGCCACCCAGCAGGAGTTAACGACATGGTATCAGTCAAGTTAGGCAAACGGGTTAGCATAGGCAAGGTTACTCCCAAGGTCACCGCGGCGACTCACCACTGTACATGTCAGGGTGGTTTCTTAAGGACGAGTCATTATAGGGGTGGTCTGCAATAAACAAAAGAGGGTGAGCAAACAGAAGGCCACGGAGTCACAGAGGCATACACAGGGAGAGAAAAAACAGAAACGCAAAGCCACAAAACAACCGAGAAGAGCGCCAGTGGTGTTGGGCAAAGGAAAGACACGGCACACTTGGCAAGGTGACGGTGCTCAGTGAAGAACAAGCAACACAAAATGGCCCCAAAAGGAACCGAAAGGTTAAATCCTGCAAAAGAAAACAGGCAAGAATAAAGTAAGTTTCTTTCGAAATGGGAGAAATTAGGCTTGAACTTTGCTTGGTCCTAGTATGTTCTGATCAAATGAGATAAAGGATTAGTGGCGTCCTGCAGCGTCTTAGGACCAACTTCTCATCAGAGTCCTCAGGTCCCAGGACTCTGGGCCAGGCCAGCTCTGGAGTGCAGCTGAAGAAAAAGGGGTGTTAATGAGCTTGGGGGCCAAAAGCCACGTCCTGTGGGAGCAGAAGCCAAGCTGCAGGGGGTGGGTGGGAGGTCAGCGGGAGAAGAGTCACTGGCAAAGGGAGGGATGGGAAGACCCTTGGAGCGCCCAGCAACATGTGTCCCCTAAATATGTGACCAGGTGGGGACCTTGGCGGTCTCTGATCCAACTATGGGAGGGAGGGAGGGAGGGAGAGATGTGGAGTTTCCGCTCTAGAATCAGAAGGGGAGTTGGGGACAGGAGAGCGAGGTGGTGAGCAGAGAGTGCCACACCCACTTCAGGACAGCGTGATGACAACGCTGGAGATCAGCGCTCTGCTGGATGATGACATTGCTTAAGTGTGGTGGCTTTGGTTCCAATGGGAGGGTCATTAAAACACCTGGGTCTTTATTCCTCAGTGAAAAGACATCTTGGAATAGGACATGCGAACAGGCCAGTGTCCTCAAGTACCTTTTTACTTGCCACATCACCACCGTTCCCTTCCAGGGTTTGAGTTTTGACAATTACCAACACGGAATGGTACTGTCAGCTAGCCAACTGGAAGCCAAGCAGACAGCCCTGAGCAGCCTAGGACATGGTCCAACTGCCGGGGGGTGGGGAGGGGGTTGGGAGGACAGATGCTGTGCCAAAACATTTGCATATTTGAAGACAGATCAAATCCTGTTACAACTAATTGTGAGTTCTTTTCTGGGCCCAGCATTGCGCTGCAGCCAATCTGCCTAACAGCCCGTAGGAGGGTTTTCATTATTCACCACTGCCTCCTCGGGCAGGGGGCTAAAGGCAGGAACTGATCCCCAATAGGATAAAGGGGCACGTGGCACTGGGGTATGTGTGGGGGGCATTCCTTGCCTCTCTAGTGGCCTCCACAGATGAAAGGGCTCTTCTTTCATGCTGTCATGCCAGGGGAAAAGAAGCCTCCTGCTCACGACCAATGGAGCTCACAGAAGAGAATCAAGGAGATTTTCAGACTCCTCTGGGAAGGTCGCTTAGGGATCGGAAAGGAGCACAGAGCACACTATTGCTCATGGATGCTGCTTCTCAGTAGAGGGGGAGGGACTTGGGACCTGGTGTGGGGCGCAGCTGGGCAAGGAGGGCCAGGGTCCATCTCTGTGAGTCTGATTCCACTAATTATCTTTCAATGCACCCCCGAACAGGTTTAAAAATGATTTTATTTGATTTTTGTAGCACTACAGATCAAACTCATACTAGACAAGCACTCCACCACTAACTATAACCCTAGCCATAAAAATTATTCTTTAGAGTACTCAGTATTTGCCACTTTATACCTTTTCAACTTTCTGTTAACACAGTTAATAAGAAAGTGTGATGAGATTTATTTTTTCCAGAAGGACAAACTGTGGGCACACTGTTTTGCCTCCCACCCCCAGCCCTGGCTCTGGAGGTAGAAGAAAAAGCCTGTGTCCTTTCCAGACAGGAAAGTCAAGAGCCCAACTGCACTATTTTAAGCAACTGTGCCCGATTCTGGGCTGGCTCTGCTGCCCAGAGCTTGCTTCCAGCCAGAGCTGTCATGGGAGAACTCCAGGAAGCTGGCAGGGTTTTGTTTCAGGAACCTGGAGGGTTTCCCATCATTTGAGGTTTTCAGTGGAACAGGGGACCCAGAAATGAGGCAGAAGGGAATATCTTTCATATCCCCTTGGTGAGAAAAGGGAATTGCTGGAAAGTTCAATTTCTAAATGCTGCTTAAATTTCTATGGAAACAGATTCATCACTTCTGCCTCCAAGCCAGGATGGCAGAAGGTCACCTGACTTGGCTGACTCAGCAGGCTGATTTCCAGCCTTCCCCTGGGTGCACAGAAGGGGTCCAGGCGGGAAGCTGGGGAGCCCTCTCACCTCTCCCACTGGCTCCTTCTCATTGCTGGCTCTGTCTTGGCTACTGGGGCCACTCTGAGGTCCTGGGCAGACCACACTGTCCCCCCAGCTCAGCCAGCTGGCAGGCAGTCACCTGGGATGCACCAAAAAGATGCTGTGGAAAACCCAATTTTCTTCTTCAGGGGCTGCCTGGGCCTGCATCAGAAATAAGGAAGGAAGGGCTGGGGGCAAGCAGAGCAGAACGGGGTTGCCTGCAGGAGCATGTGGGGCTCTGGCTTGCAGCTGGGGTCTGGGCCATCCTGAGGGCTGTCATGCTTCGGGCAGTCAACACCCCTGGGAACAGTTGTGGGGACACAGATGACCAGAGGCGGTAAGTGCAGTTCAAAGAAACAGAAGAATAGAGACAGAGAAAAGAAGACAAAAAAGAGGAAGAACAGAGAGGAAGGAAATAGAACAGAGAAACTGAGATAAAGTGGAAAAAAGGAGGGAAAAAACCACATGAGAAGCAGAACATAAAAGCAAGCTCCTCTTCTCTGTCACGGGGAAGGGACGTGGGCTTCGCTGACCTTCAGTGCACCTCTCCTGTCACCAGCAGGGAGTGATGAGGAAAGAAGGCAGGAAGGGCTCAAGCCCTTGCCACCCCATGCCCCACCCACCAGCTCTACCTAGGTGTCACTGACAGTCAGAGCCGACTTCCCCAGAACCCTTGCCATTCACCCACTGCACTGACGGCAAGGTTCATGGCATGCGTCAGATGGAATGAGGTGTCTTTTTAGGGTGAAGCTCTTTCACAGAAGGTGTGTAACACATCCATGGAGAAAACCAACTGGGACAACTTTCAGTGTCATGAGCAATCTGAGGTTTTTTTTTTCCAGTTCTGAGGATCAAACCCAGGGTGTTCTAACTGAGCTGTATCAACATCCCTTTGACAAATTTTTTAAAAAATTTTGAGACACAGTCTTGCTTAATTTCCAGAGTGGGCTCAAACTTGTTATCTTTCTGCTCAGCCTCCCACACAGCTCAGATTACAGGTACACACTGCTGCACCCAGCAATGTGTTCCAGGCTGGTCTGGACCTTGAATTTCTGACTACACTTTCCTCACAACTCCACTGACATGAGGGAGGCCACTGACACTATCCCGGGTCAGGAAAGGCCACTTGCTTTTGCATCAAAGAAAATCAAAGAATAAAAACTGAAACAAATTAAGTCAAAACATAAATGTACAACTTCTAAACAGCAATTTCACATGGTTCAACAAGTATCTATTATAGAATCAAGTAAAATTTATTTTTGTGTGTCTGCTAGTTTTTTTGTTTGCTTGTTTTTGAGAGAGGGCCCCACTATGTAGCCCAGGCGGGCCTTGAACTTGTGGTGATCCTCCTGTCTCGTTCTCCTGAGTGCTGGGATTACAGGTGTGCACCACCATGCCTGGCTTTTCCAGTAATTTTAATATGCTATGCTCTGGCTTTCTTCTAGAAATAAAGATACTCAAGAGTTAACTAGATATAAATCAGCTTAATGAGGGATGAAGATGACCAATGACACTTAAACAAAGTGATTCTCAGAGCCAGGGATTTAGCTCTGTGGCCTAAGTGCTTGCCTGGCAAGCATGAGGTTGTGAGTTCAATCCCTGGTACCAAAGAACAAAAACAAAACAAAACAAAAAAAGATGTTATTCTCAAACTCCGGGGTACTAAGTCTTGCAAATATGCAACCTACTCAGTTAGAGAAACACTGGGCCTTGGTGTATGATTCTAATTCCCACCAAAGTTGGAGAAGCACTGGCCAGGAGTAGGAACAAATTCAACTCAAGGCTTTAGAATTAAGTGACACTTTTTACAGGTCATTGCAATGGCTCCTGTTAGCTCAGGCTCAGTGAGTAGGTAGGCTTTCTAGGTGAGCCTCCGGGTTAAGTTTCCCTGTGGACACAGGCACCCAGGGCAGCAGGGCTCCTTTGGTCACAGCCCTGGGCAGGGCCTGCACTTACTGGTGAGAACCTTGAGGGTGAAGGGGTTCTTCTGCTGGATGGTGTGTGTGAAATGGAAGCGAGCGTTACAGCTGTAGTCGGTCTGCATGTCCTGCAGCATCACGTTGGAGAAGTAGAGGTCTCCGTTATGGCCCTGGGAGACGCGTTTGTCCTGGGTGATGGGCTCCATGGCTATAAGGAAGCACAGGTGTGATGAGAAGTTAGAAGGCCAACCACTGAGCACTACAGAAGCAGGCCTGGGGTCCGGGAGGTTGACTTTACTTGTCTTAACCCTCCCAACTCTAGAGTAGGGCTAGTTTCTATTGTACAGAAAAGAATCCAAGGGACCAGGCAGCAAGGGAGGAGCAGGAGTTTGGATCCAACCGGGCCTGCGTACCACGCCCATGCAGTATGAGTACCCATTGCAAATCCTTGTTCATACCACAAAAGATCTGACCGTCCTCAGGGCCACAGGGAGGAAACACAAGCCTTTAGATGCGCCTCCTAGCCGAGGGAGCACAGCGAAGGCAGGATTCACGGCTTGTTTATGCCCCAGCCCCTGCCTGAGGGCCTGGCACATGAGGACTCTCAACAAGTTGCTGAATTAAATGAAGTTCAGCTTGGCTTTGTTGCACTTAATCAAAAAATTTTTTAAGAAAAGCAACTCTCAATTACAATTGCAACTCTCAATTTTAATTGTAAGATGGGTTCCAATCACTGAAGCATACCACCAATTTTAAGAGGTATTCCAATTTTAGAGCTGTTAAACTACAAAAACGTGTGCTTTTTAGTCAATGACATCACAGGAGAGGCTGAGGCTGCAGATTGTATTATCGATGTTTTTTTTCCAGCATTGATATAAACCCCAAAGACCAGGTCTTGAGGCTGACAGGTCTGTTCTCTTACAGTTAAGGCTGACTACACACAGCTGTCTCTTTCCTGTGCTCACAACTGTCTTCTAAATCACCATGTCTGCAAGCACAAGATCAGTGGCGCCAACATTTCCACAATGGGCTCCTTGAATCACTCTGTAGAGACGTGCTGTAGGCCTGCTGTGCTCCAGGCACTGAGCCAGGTATGGATGAACAATGAACAAAAAAGTCAGCTCCTGTCCTCAGCAAACTACCAGTCAGTGCAATACAGCATGGAGAGCACAGCATACCAGGGAGCAATCAGAGGTTGCAGAGAAGGGGCCAGTCCACTTGTGTGTCTGTGGCTGAACCCTGAAGGCTGCATGTCTTACACCAGACAGAAAGGATGGAGGAGGGGTGCTGCTAAAGGCTAAGAGCACAGGGCCTATGCAGGGCTTCGGGATGCAGGCTGAGGGTGAGAGGGGCAAAGGCCAGAAAGAGGACCAGATGCCAAAGCTGTTCCTGACCTGAGGTCAGGGAGAAGCCAATGAAAGTGTTCAAGCGTCTGACCAGGGAGCCCTATTATACACATGGCTGTCACCCAGGGACAGGCTGATGGTGGCTGGAGCAGAAATGGAAAGAAGCAGAGGGCTGTGAGACCTGCTCTGGAGGTGGCATGGACATAGCGTGGTAACAAACTTCTATGTGATGGATGAGAAAGGAGTGTCGAAACTGGGAACTAACAAGCTGGCCCACCTACCTGGAGCTTGGCAGCCTGCCCACATGCCATAGGGTGACAAGGGCAGAGAAGGACAATGACAGAGCACACAGCCACCCTCACCCCACAAGACAGCGTGCAATGCTGTCTCCCTGACATGGCAGCCTCTCTTGAAACTTAGCTGATGCACAGAATGATGGATGATGGGCAGGTGGACAGGTGGATATACAGACGGATGGACAGGTGCATAGGGAGGGGCTGGAAGGAGGGAGGGATGAATGGATGGACAGATAGGGAGGGATGGATAGACAGAGGAATGAATAGGGAGGGGGATAGATGGATGGATGGATAGGGATGGATAGAAAGGGATGGATGGATAGATAGGAGGGATGGAAAGGGATGGATGGAGAGGGACAGAAGGATGGATGGATGAATGGATAAAGAGGGATGAGGATGATGCATGTTTGATGGATGAATGGACAGAGAGGGATGGAAGATGGTTAAATGGATGATGGATGGGTAGGGAGGGACAGAAGGACAGGTCAAGGAAACAGGTGGGCAGGAAAGGAGGGGAAGGAAAGCCAGCAGATGCACAGAGAGACCATGGACAGCTAATTACACTGTACTCTCCCTCTGTTTTAATTGAAAATGTGGGGAAACTTAGGCCCAGAAAGATTAAATAAGCTTCTTCCAAAACTGCACCAAACATCTCTAAACGGTGTCACCCAGACCCCTGCTCCAGACACCCTCTCTCCTCCTTGCACCTTCATCCAGACTCATTCCTGCACTTACTCTCCACCCTAGAGAAGTGGGTGGAGCAAGTCCAGACCGACCAACGCTCATGAGAAAGTGTGGCTCAGCCACCTCCCACTGGCTTACAGGTGCGGTTTCTCCTCCTCTTTATTCTTTCCTTCTTTTGCAATTCTTGACCTTCACCTTCACAAGTGGTACTAAAAACTCTGTAGTGGACTAAGTCTCACCACTTTGGATGGATTAGCTCACCGACCTTTACAATAATATCGCCAGATAAGGATATTGTTAATTTTGTTTCTCCCAGAAGACGACTTGTAGGTTCAGGGAGGTTATGCAACCTGCTTAAAATCATACAGCATCAACAACCTCTCTGCAGAGCTGCGTTCTCAACCCACATGGCCAAGCTGTACCTGTCTCTCCCAAGTCATGGTCTTCCTGCTTTGAGTTCACCCTCCCACCTAACACACCTCCCTCACTCCCTGGGGCCAGACCATCAACAAAACATGGGGCTCCCAAGACTTACAGCTGCTCATCCAGAAGATAACGGGGGACGGGAGGCCAGGAGGCGGGTTGCACTGCAGCGTCAAAGGGGCGCCTTCCTGAACCACAACAGGGTCCAGGTTTTCTTTGGGCCACAGGGGAGATTCTGGGGAAGAAGAGACAACGAGGGTAAAGTGAGGGTGAGGGCTAGAGCTGGGGTACCCTTGTGAGACAGGAGGACAGGGGCCTTTGTGGGGGTACATGCCAGTCTTGAGGGTCTCCCCTTCCCCTCCTCTGGTGCCCAAGGTGGCCTGTGACTTTGGGGCCAGCTCTGACTTGGCTTGCAAATTTCCTTTCCAGGAAATCTTTCTGAGTGGTTCAGGGGCGGCTCTCCTGGAATGACCTTCCATGCCCTGCCTCACTTTCCTGGCCCTGCCTTGTGGTACTCACTGGACACCTGCAGGCGGATCCTGTTGGACAGGGCGGTGCCAAATTTGTTGCGGGCAAAACACTGGTATTCGCCTTCGTACTCTTCAGGCCGCCCACCACTGCGGAAATCTATCACCAGCGTCCCTGACCTCCTCCTCATGGACACCCGCGGGTCCTTGGCGATATTGAAGAATCTGCTGTTTCGAGTCCAGTGGAAGCTATGGATAGTGGGGACAGGGGGATCATGACAGATGATGGAACATTCATATGCAGATCCATCCATGCTCTTCCATGCTAATGAGTCCAGCCCTTGTGGGGTGGAACTGTGGAGAGCAGAGAAGATGGGAACCCCAGCAGCACTCCCTGGGTCTGTTCAGAGCAGGGCCTGGCCTCAGCATTTTTACCCAGCGTGGCTGGGAACCATGGCTCTGGGTGGTGGACGCTCAGCCAGCCCCTGGGAGGTTCTGTCCTTTAAGTGCATGATGGAGAGTAGGTAGCAATTTTGAGTCTTTAAAATCTAGAGTCGGCTATTCCTTTTAGTCTCAGAACATTCCCAGCGCCCTACCCAGGAATGCAAACCCAAATTCATAACCGGTCAGGACTTACGCTGCTCCTCCAGGACCGTGAAGTGGATAATCCACCCCCACCCCACACACATCAAAGTCACAAGGAACTGGCTTGGTTATCACTGTGCACTGTGAGTGTAGATGACGAGGCAGCCACACTGCAGCACTAGAGGGGCGGCTTTTGTTTATTTTATTCTTTTATTGTTGTAAGTACATGTTTGTAGTACATAAAGATCACAAATCATCGCAGGGAGTTGCATGTACACCATGCATCTTAATTCATTTCTTTGTCTCTCTTTTTCCATCCCCTACCCTTCCTAAAGGGGCAGCTTTTAAAAGATGGGTAGCCTAATGACACTGAGCGATGGTGTGAAGTACCCAGTGCCCTCTGGGACTGTTGCTCAATGGTACAGTGCTTGTCTAGCATGTATGAGGTCCTGGATTCAAAACTTAGCACTGCAAAACAAACCCCAACCCTGCCCCCCCAAAGCAACAAGCAAACAAACCAACCAAAAGAAACTAAGTACCCTGCTTGTCTTGGGAGGATGCAGCCAGTGCCTGTGCCTTTTAGCCACTTATCACAGAACCAGTGAAAGGAGGAGGAGAAGCAGAGGCTGCTCAGTGTCAGAGTCACTATCCCCACAAAGGAACCACAGGAAAACACCAATCCCAGAAGCACCGTGACCAGTGCCCCCACTGGCCCTCCAGTCCCACTTCCAGTGAGGAATCCTTGCAGGTTCCAGAGCTCATATCTCTGTATCAGAACCTTTCATGATAGCCTATCACACATGTCCAGCAGCCTCTGGCCTGCTTGCTCTTCTGTGATACACGCACCCTGGCAAGGTCCTGCCACAGCTGGCCTGAGGCCAGCCAGAGCTCATGGCTGCAGCTGTGATAGTGGGAACAGACAGCATCTTCCATGTCTCCAAGGCTTAGCGTTTGGCACACATGAACCTGAGCTTGTGGGGTCAGAGGCTGGGTTTACATGTGGGTTTTGCCCCATTCCTGGGGAATAACTATGGGAAAGGCACTAAAAACCTGCTCCTCCACGTGTTTTTTGTGCAGGAGGACATAGGCCCCGCCCAGAGGAAGCAGGATGGTTGAGCAGAGACACTGTGAGCAAGAGCAGCCAGCACAGCCTGGAAGGAGCAGGCTTCAGGCTCCTGTCTGCTGACCCCACACCTGATCCCGATAAGCAGATAAGCAGAGAGCTCAGAATACAGAGCTGGAGTCAGGCAGGAGGAGGAACTCTGCATTGCTGAACAGGCAGTAGATGAGGGCGACACCAGGCTGGGGGCAGAATGTCCTGCTGGAAGTCAGAACAGCTAGTGTCTGTCTGGCTTTTCATGATGAATTCAGACAAACTGCCTAAGTACTTCCAGCCCTAGTTTCCTTTTCAGCTAAGTTTCCTGTTTCCTAAATTGCACCTCCTACCTGGTCTGTGACTGAGTGTAACTTATCGGATGTCTCATTTGCCTGCTCAGAGGCTGGGGTGGTCTTCGCTGGTCCTTTCTGTCGACTCACCTGGGGGCAGGGTTCCCCTTCGCCTCACACTCAATCAGGATGTTGTCACGGGGGTCCACGATGTGGTCCTTCACTGACTGCTTGGTGATGGTTGGAGGCTGGGTCACTGCAATAGGATGTCAGGGGGCGGTCAGGGCTGGCTTGGGGGACAGCTAGAATCATGGGGCATGCAGGCAAGTGGTCATGAACAAGTCCTCACTCTAGAGACCTGCTTTCTGTAGGAAAGGGGGTTAGTGCTGAGGGCTAACGAAAGAATCCCTTTGAGAAGATTCAAAGTCCCTATGAGAGGCGGAAAGCCAGGCTTTTGTTATGCCCAGCCTTATAGCTCAATACCTAACACCAGGTACACAACAGTCTCTGACAAGTGTGTGCTGGATGAATACAAGAACAAAAGCAGCTACCTTTTTAGAACTCAGGGACCATGGTTCTGTGCCCCAAGCCACACCTGGTTAGGTAAGAGCTGAAAGATGCATTAGTTCCAGAGAGCATCCTAGGGGCTTGTCAGATCCTCCATCCTGGGGTCCTCAGCCCCAGGGCTCTATGCCAGGGTCCCATGTCAACTGCTGAGGCCAGAGGAGCAGCCAGGGCCGTGGTGTATCTCAGCTTCCATTCGGGGACCCTCCTCTCACCACCTGCTCCTCTACCTTGCCCAGCAGTGGGAGCCTCTGGCTAAGCAAGCTCCTCTCTTTGGTATGGTTGGGGATCTCAACACGGGGCTGATAGAGAGGCCACCGATCCCAGACATCTGGCCTCACTGGCTCACATGGCCTCTCCCACCTTTATACCCTCCCTCCCACCTCGGAGGCCCGAGGGTGAGGCAGTGCGTGGGACTTACGCTCATTCTGAATGCTTGCTGTTAGTTCCAGTGGGTTAGCATTGCAGGGAGAGAAAAGAAGAACACCGTTATCGCACATGGCTAACCATACAGCAGAAGGGAGAGGTGGCCTGGGGACAGCATTGTGTCCTGGCCTTCTTGATTCAGCTGCAGAGTTCAGGGGACAAGCACAGCAGGGGTTGAGAGCAGCCCCATCATATGCTTCACAGAGAAGGTGCTGTCTCCCTTGGAGCCCAAAGCCACAGCAGGGAGCCTGGAGACAGAGGAACTATTGTTGTCCTATTCTTGTAGAAATACATTGCCCTGTAGTGGAGCCTACTGCTCCTTACTGCATTTTATGTAGAGCAGGTAAAGAGGAGGTGGCTCAAATCTTCCCCAGCTGTCCCTGGAAGGTGTGCCTGCTGGAGTACTACAGGTGGCTCCTATACAGGTGTGCATATGCGTGCATGTGTGTGTGCATGTGTGTGTGTTGCTGGGGATCAAACCCAGGGCCTCAAACATGCTAGGCCAAGTGTTCTGTCACTGAGCTCCAACCAGGCCCAAGTTCTGCATTTCTGACCAGACGCCAGGTGACACTGAGGCCTGTGGCCTGTGAGTGCAGCTCAGGTAGTGAGGGCAAACCCTTGCTGGTGTTCTGGGGAGAAAGTCTCAGTTCAAATGTGTCTGTAGAGAAAAGAACGTGAGCTGCTACAACTCTGTACAATGTCCTTCCTTAGGTCAGCACCGGAAAGCACCTCTGTATTCTCCCTGCACACGGTGTGGATGCTGGGCGCCACGTTAGCTGTGGGCTGAGTTCTTCATTGAGTGCTGAGGGAAGCAGGGGGCAGGGGAGGTTGCAGGCCCCTGGTGGAGCCGCAGGGACCTTGATGCCTTCCAATCTTCTGACCTTTTGGGAGGGCAAAACGAGGAGGAGGAGGAACGAAGGGGTTCAGAGGGGGCCCTGGAGGAGCCCAAGTTCATTAGGCTTGAGAGGTCACAGAGGGATAGGGGAAAGGAGAGGTGAGGGGAGGTATGGCAAATAAGTCAGTAAGTCCTGACAGGACAGCCAAGGAAAGGCTCATGGTGGGCCGGAGGGTGGGTGTGTGGCCCATGTGGAAGAAGCATTTACTTTTCCCATGTGCCCAGGGCTGCCCAGCCAGGAATGACATGAGAGACAGGAAAAGGCCCAGTTTCTGTACACACGCTCCGTGGAGCTCCCCCCAGCAGCACTGTCGCTGTCAGTGACCTTCTCATCAGGGGCGCAGGAAAGGTGATTATGTGGGGCTCCATGGGAGGGGCGGGAGACTGGGGAGCTGAGTCCTTCTGACCCCAGCCTGGTCCCGGCTTCTTCGTTCCAGTCATAGCTGATACCTCCTGGGTCCCCACCCACAGGTGCGGCTCTGGCCTCACCCAGATGGGCTCCCAGCTGCTCTTCCACAGAGCAGAAGCCAGATCAATGGGAAGAGCCTTACACATTGGTGGAGAGCTCTAACAAAGGAAGTCACTCAGTGAAGACCCTATGGGAAGTCTGGTGCAAAGTCAGAGTAGATACCTGCTCTGCTAATGCCTGACCAATGTGCTTTCTTTGGTACTAGCGACAGGACCTAGGGCCCTCACACTGGACTACATCCCTAGCCATTTTTTATCTTGAGACAAGGTCCCACTAAACTGCTAAGTCACCTGCACTAGGTTCAGACTTTCTAACCTCCTGCCTCAGACTCTGAGAGTGCAGGGGTTGCAGGTGTGCACCACTGTGTCCAGCTCACACACCCATTTTTACACACCCATTCTTGGCTGGGAGGTGAATTAACCAGTGGTGGGGGGCCTGCAGCACTCTGTTCTCCTTTGGATGAGCACCAGATGAGGTAAGAGGGAAACCTTGATGAGTGGAGGCTCTCAGCAGCTGGAGCAGCTGGCTGCTGTCTGCCTCCACACGGCCTATCTGGCCAGCAGTCTCTTGAAAATCTACTTGCCTAAAGGGACAATGACATTTGTAGTCACCACTGTTTTCTTGAGGAATTTATTATAGGGACAGGATCTACCCAGAAGACAAGCTGCCACAGGGAGAAGACGGTGAGGACAGACTGTCTAGCGACAAGGAGAGGCAAGCTCTTCTCCAGCGTCACATCACCTGCCTGTCTCTCCACGGAACTTGCTGTCTGATGATGCCCACTGAAGGATGAATTTGTTCTTTTTGCTCCCAGGGGCCACAAAGCCGTTTCAGCCCGGGCCTTCAGGGGTTGGGTAGTGGCCATCGCTGTCTCTGTTTCCTCCTGGGCTCTCACCCTTCCCTTGGGGGACAGGTGGAGGGGAGCACATGTCACAGTGCCCATCCCATAGTACAATTTGGGGTGCAGTTGGAGAGGAAGTGTCTCTCCCACTCTGTGGGCCACCTCTGCAAATTCCTAGGATACGAGTGCTAAGTCCCCTTGGCGTGGGACAGACAGAGGGGCAAGCCTCCAGCAGATTCTTTTGGCAAACCCACTCTGGCTCATGAGGTGACCCTTTGGTTGCTTCAAAGGTCACACTGTTCTCCTTGGGGCTGAAGGGGTACAGATGCTTGTGACTTCACTGCAGCCTGAATGAGGGATTGTGTGGTAGCCCAGGGCCCTCTTCCAAGGAGCTGCTGGGCCAACTTCCCTGGGTGGAGACAGTATCCTTGCCCTTGAGGCATAGAGAATGTTCCCAAGGGGAAGCAGTAGGAGGACACCAAGGAATTCTGGCAGCCTCCAGCTGAGAAAGTTAGAGATGCAAATCTTCCCCCAGCCCAGAGACAGAAGGTGTAGTCCGCTAATACCAGAGCAAGAGCCCAGGTGCTGGGCCCAGAAGTGGCTGGGATCTCTTCAACACAGTTGGGTCCTCTGGGAAGGGCTGCTCTGTGTGTGTGTGTGTGTGTGCTCGCACTCGTGTGTAGGCTCTGGAGAAGCTGTGATGGTGGGGAGGGCAGGGCCCTCAGGGCATGTTTCTGGCAGCCTGGGCCACCTGGACGGTTTTGGCAGGACTCACCTCTCCACCATAGGTGAGGCCCTCATATCCTGCTCTGCAGCTTCTCTGTTTTCTAATCTGTCAGCCAGGGTGAATACCTGCTTCCTCGCTTCACTGGGAAAACCTCATGTGATGTCACATACAGTACTAGGTTCTCTGCTTGGCCAGGACAGCGTGATTTCAGTGGGTCCAGTGAGGACTAAGAGGAGGCAGTATTACGTGGTGTGTATGTAGGGGGCATTCTGAGCGCAAAATTAGTGGTCAAGAGATCCAGGCTCTGTTTGGCTCCATTACCATTTGTCACGTGACCCCAAGCAAGGGGCAGAAGTCCATGAATACAACGTGGAAAGGTGGCTTCCTTCTGGGCCCCCTTGCGCCCCTAGTATGAGGATGGGTGGTGAGTAGCTTAGGGCACTCTCTGCTCTCTGCCAGTGTGGTAATTTGGGGAGACTGATTGCTTGGGCTCCTGGCTGTGTCTACAGGAGTATACAGATACAGATTTCCCTCCCCCCAGTTCTAGGGATTAAACCCAGTGCATTCACATGGAGCTACACCCTTTGCCTTTTACTGTATTTTTATTTTGAGACAGGGTCTTGCGAAGTTGCCCAGGCTAGGCTGGAACTTGCACCTCCTCCCTTATCCTCCCAGAGTGCTGGGATTACAGGCATGTACCTATCAGAAATCTGCCGAAGCCATTTCTGAGTTCACAGCATAGGATTCCCTCCATGCCCTGCACCCCCTCCCAGCCCCAGGGCTCAGAGTGGCAGGTGAGTGAGTGAGTGAGAAGCGGCGGAAGAGAAATAAGCCGTCACCACTTTCTGGATAACCCAATTTCCTCTGCACCCCCTCCCTCTCCAGGGACAAGGCATTTATCGCACTCTTATTAGACTGTCTGCCTGGGACTGTTAATGAGAACTCTCCTCGAGAGCGGGCCAGCTGCAGACAGTCACCATGGGAACAGTTCCTCTCACAACTCTGCTCTCTGCCTGCCCTGGGTGTGGACCCTGAAATGTGCACATACACTTGGGCTACTGTACTGGGGCACCAGTGGCCTTGCTCATCTCGCTTTTGGGTCCGGTTCACAGTTTTTACTGCCCTCTGCTGTCCCTGGTGCCCACTCTTTTGGGGTACTGTTCTCATTGAGGGGGAGGATGGTTTCCCTTTAGAGAGCTCCATGGGGACTTTCTGCAAACCAATTACTCTGCCACCCCCTCCCCAGACATTTGTCTGGGGAGGGCCCACATCAGCGGTGGCATCATGTTGGTCCTAGTTATTCCTTGGGGCAACCCAAGAAGTGTGGCTGCTGACCACAGGCCATGTAAGAACGCAGCGACACACAGGGTGCTGCCTTGACACTTTAAACCCCTTCTTTCAGGATCGTGATGCTCACACAGTGTCTCCACCAGAGAAGCAGAATGGATTCATTCTCCCACACGACTGTGGGAAAACTGGACACAGGTGGAAGCCATGCCTCGTTCATTTAAATGACTTATTTATCCAGGCCTTTTGCAAAGATAATTGCCTTCCCAGCCCTCCTGGGCCATCTATCCTCCCCACCCCTCCAGCCGAGGGAACCAAGGTTCAGCTTTGGATATAGCATAGAAAGGCAGGTAAGAGCACCCCTACACTTCCCCCGAAGCTGTTTTTAGAAGGTCATAAACATAGAGGGCCAAAGAGGGTGAGCAGAAGGAAGAATGCAAGAGGCTCCCAGAATTTCACACTTGGCAACCCCAGGAAGCGCAAGCATTTTTTTAGAGACCAGTTCTGCAACTTGCAGTATCAGAATACCAAACATGAGCCGGTGTTGATTCACTAGACAGCAAGCCAGCTTGGGATCCCAGAATCACTCATTTCTACCCTCTCCCCAACCTTCAAGAGGTCTTAACTCTCCTCCAACCTCGCCTTCCCTCCCGCTCCTTGACCTAAAAACAGGAGGAAACAGTATGGGGCAAGACTCACGATCCATAGGAATCTCGATGGCACTGCCAAGACTGAGGAGGAGGAGGAGGAGGAAGGCTGTGTGGAGCCAGGGCGGCGGCTGCTGCCTGGCCATCCTCGGCACCGCGCCCCTCTCCCTGCTCCCCAGCCCTCGGGCTCTTGCTGCCTCCAGCTGCTCCACGTGGGCTTTCGGGACAGAGCTCAGCTGTGGAAGGAAACACACAGCAAGTTAGTTTTTCATGAACTTGTGCCTGTTCTTGTACTCCTCCAGGGCCTTGGAGGACTCTGGGTCCCCTTGGTCACCTTGGTCACAGAGCAGGGGAATGTCCTGGTGCAGGATTCCTAACTCTAAAACTAAGGACATTTGGAACATTCTGTGTAGGGAACTGTGCTGGGTACTGGAGGATGTTTGACAGCATCCTGATCCTGGTCTCTACTGACCAGATGCCAGCAGAGTCCACCCCTGCCTCCAACCAAAAATGGCTCCAGACATTGTCACCTGGGCCAGGAGGGCAAAGCCATTCCCAACTGAGAACTACTGTGGCACAAGGAAAGAAAACTCTGCACAGATCAGTTACGAAAGCAAACACTGGCCTGTGAAGAACACTGTGCAAAGTTGTAGAAATGCAAGAGCCCATGGGTTCCCTGAGGGAATTTAGGGCAGTAGCAGAGACACAAAATCACCCTGATCTCTTTTGATCTAAGGGCAAGGGAACGGGATGACACCAGCAGCCCTGGGGGTCCCAGCCCGAACCCTGGATGGCCATGGAATGTTTTGTTTTAAGTATTTCGTGCAGCTAAGATGTGCTGCTCCTTTATAGGTAATGGCAGTAGTGAGACAGTGACGCAGAAGTGGGCTTTGAGGTGGTCAATAGAATAAACAACATTTGTGACAGCTCAAGCACGAGCTATCATGGCGGGGCTTCCAGGGAAGTGGGTTAGAGATGCGTGTCCAGCTGTAAGTGCGTCTCCTTAAGAGACTAAGCCTCTTCCCCTCAAGATGGGACAAGAGCACCTGAGATGCAATCAGACACAATGCTAAGCTGCCCGAGGCTCTGAATCACAGAGTATGTAGCCATAGTCCAGTTTGCTTTTCCTCCATGGGCCCAGGTCCAAAAGGAAGACGTAGGTGGTATGTTCAGAATCTGAGCTCTCTTGGACTGATGGCTGCCCATCAAATGGATCTTTGCTTCTGCTTCCATTTCATCTGGTGGCAACTTGAAGCCCATGGTCAACTGTCCATGCTCACTGTCTCCTGCCCATCCTGACTGAGGGGGAGAGGACCTTGCAGGCAACAGCTCCTGGGGAACAATGCCAACCTCCTAGAGACCCGCAGCAGGAAGCAGGTTACAAATCACCACCTCCCCTGTGCAGGATTCAGGGCAGGTGAAGGATTCTGACTCACATTTCAACGGTTTCCTCCCAACCTCATGTGTTCCTGAGCTCCATCACTTGTCCCCTGCCCCCTGCCATCACTTTGGTTCAGCCACCATCGTTTCATACAGCAGCCTCTTGTGTGGTCTCCCAGCGTCCACCCTGTCCCTGATTCATTCTTCATTCACTACCAAAGCCTTGTTTTTGAAGTACAAATGTCAGTATCCCACTCCCCTAGGTGGACACTCACAGCTACTGCTGCCTGAAAGTTAATGCCCCTCATCCTTTACTCTCCCCATGATGGTACTTTGTACTTTATATTCATTCAAAAGTCACTTGTTTCCCCCATACACATGACTATAAAGGAAAGTGCTCTGATTGTTTATGGTTCTGTTCCTAGAATCAATCACAGCACCAAAGACATAGTAGGACCTCAAAAATGTGGCAGATAGAAATATGTATGGACAAACAAAAAGAATGATTGGATGAAATGAGAAACCACTTTAGAGTGAATGGTTTGCTGGCTGTGGTGGCACACACCTGTGATCCCTGCACTTGGGAGGCTGAGGCAGGAGGATCTCTGTGAGTTCGAGGCCAGCCTGGGCTACAAAGTGAGTCAAGGCCAGCCTGAACTACATAGTAAGACTGTCTCAAAAACACAAAACAAAAACAAAATGTTTTTATAAAACTCCTATTTTTCTAGGAAACCACTAGGTGGCACAAGAGAGCACCTGACTGAGTATCATACTAGCAAAACGATCAATTGGTGGGTGAAAAAGTCCCCACCCTTAAGATGCAGGGTCCTGGCTAGGAAACCACGTAGGTGGATAGGGGTAAAGAGAGCAGACAAATCCCCGTGGAGGGACCCTTTGGGCAGAAGTCATCACAGGGGTCTTTGGTTCTACTTCTGACTTAGACGTCCTTACACTGTCTTCCCAACAGTCCCTGCACGCCTCTCCTCGCTCACAGGGTGGAAGGGCTGCACCGGGGAAGGGGAAGGGACTGCTTTCTCTAGGAGGGCAGCGGGAAGGCGCGCTTGGGCTCCGCGACCACCATCCTTCGCTCTTGCCTTGTCAAGCAACAGGAAGTGATGAGGAGGGGTGTTTTATTTTGGAAATCTCAGTGGAACTAGGAAGCTGGAAGCTATTTGTTAAACAGAAGTGCTCTGGCAAGAAAAAAAAAAAAAGCCAACTGTTTGGGCTAACTCACAACTGAACAACAGGTCGGGATAATCCACTCAGCAGTTCGGCAACTCTCTTTCCCTTTACCCTCTGAATTTGTTTTTCCAACCAGATATTCAAAGAGGAAGAGAATGGAAAGGTTAGCAGTAATCTCACGTAATACCTTGCTTTGCAGGCAAGGAAGCAAGAGCCCAGAGACGGGAAGTGACTTGTTTAGTGACTGCCAGCTGGCTAGTGGCAAAGGTAGGAAAAGAACCCATGCATCTCAAATCCTAGTGGCAGGGCTTTCCTGCCCAATTTCCTCGTCTTCTGCTGTACAGGAAAGCCCCAGAGGGAAGTTACTACTTTAAAGAGAAATGTATAGTTTAGCCATCCCTCAGAAATTCAAGTAGGAGATTGCATTTGACCCTGTGATTATGCCTTGGCCTATCTCCCAAGGACAGAAAGCACGTGACATGCAAATTCACTCGCACACCTGCTCTCAGCAGCAGCAGCTCGAGTGCCAGGTGTGGCTCTGCCCCAGCATCCATCATGGGACAGGGGCAAGCCGTTTCGGCCCTTGCATGGAGTAGTATGGCACCACAGAAAGGAGTGATGCCTTGGAATATAAAGAGGAAACCCAAAGCCATGTTTCTACAAGTCTCTGCCCCCTGCCCCAAGTGCAACGGGAAATGTTATGTGCCTGTCTTGCAGCCACTATATGTATAATCACAAAATGTTCAGGTGAACTTTTGCTCTGTACCTGAAACTACTCCCCCTAACCACAAGATGCACTAACTCCAACGCCTGCTGTGCCCAGACCTCCACCTCTTCCAACCCCCGAGGATGACAGTGCCTCTACCTCTGTAAAATGTGCCTCTACCTCTGTAAAATGCTTCCACAAAATTCCACTCTTGCCCTCCCCAACTAAAACAGAGGTACAAAACTCCAGCTTTGCTGAGACATAGGGCCCAGAATTCAGAGAACTCATTGCCTCTGGGTCAGAGCCTGCATGACAAAGAGCTTGGTTTTCTCCACCTCTTCCAGTACCTGCTGGGTTTCTTGCACTATCAGAGGCCCATAATTCCCACAACAACTGAACCCCAAAAACTTGCTCAGGGAAAGAACTTACATGCCAAAAGCCACATATAAAATGACTTCCTATATAAATTTCGTATAAGAAATATCCAGAATAGGTAAATATACACACAGAGGACAGAGATTGGAGGTGAACAGAGGCAGAGGGGGATGAGGAGTGAGTGCCTGCTGGGTATGGGTTTGCCAGCAATGGTGAAAATATTTTGGAAATACAGGTGGTAGTGGCATGCTTTTTTCTTTTTTTGTACGGGGATTGAACCTGGGGCCTTCTCACTGAGCTACATCCCCAGCCATTTAAAAAAAATTATTTTGAGATCTAAGTTGGTAAGTTACCCAGTCGTCCAGACTGGGTTTGAACTTGTGACCCTTCTGCATCAGCCTCCTAGAGTACTGGGATCCTAGGTATGTGCCACTACACCTGGGAGTTCATTTTCTGAATGAACTAAATGTCACTGAATTCTGCACATTAAAAGGGCTTATTTTATGTAAGTTGCACCTCAGTAAAAAAAGAAAGGTATCAGGTTGGCCTCTACTGTGTGCTGAAGATGATGGGCTGGGCAAAGGGTGAGGGAGACAGGTGTGATTCTGGGCCTGGGGCTCTCAGCAGGGAAAGCAGGCCTATGCTGGCAACCTCCCTGACAAAGCTGGGGAGTTTCCACCCAAGGCACAGGAAGAAAGGTGTGGGGGTCTAGTTCTAAGCTTAGAGAGCCCATTGCAGTGATAGCAGTGATGAGGCCCAAGGGTTCCCCCATCAGCAGTGTGCACCTTGAAAAACAGGGAGAAAGAGGCAAGGCCAAGGTACCAACAATGAAGTCCACAGGTCCAGCGCAACCTCAAGGGAATGACCTTGCCCTGGGGAACAACCACATATCTCCCAAGTTCCTCTGGCCCTTATAGCATCGGGCAAGACAGCTCAGGGAGGATGAAGAGCCTACGCCCTATGGTCTAGGGCTCCCAGGCCTGGAGGAGAGGGGTAGCACAGCAGTCTTCAAATGCTGGGACTGGGGGCAAGATTCTTTTTTGTTTAGCTTTTCAGAGGTCAAACTGGGACCAAGCAGGAGGAAGTTCTAGGGAGGAAGCGCTTTCTGAGGCACTGGAGAATGATCCAATGAACAGAGCCACCCTACCATTGAACGCCTGATCTGCACACGTGACAGATTGTATGCTTGAGAGATCCTTTAATAGCTAATCAAACAGTTAAGAGGTAGGTGCCAAGGCCATACAGTGCTTGGTCGAGGCCCATTATAGGAGGTGGGGAAAGTAAGTTAATGAGCAAAAATAAATAAATCCAATGAGAAATCTTGTGTGACTGATGGTACACTATAAATTGAAGAATGGTGACTTTAATTCTTGTGTACTTGAAATCCCCTCCAATGCCCTACACACACACACGCACCTGGAAGGAAAATAATAGGGACGCCTCAATGAGCAACGCTCTGCCATCTTAGAAGTGAGCTTACTGTCTCGTAAAGAAGTCAAAGGGCAGCCTCATTCGGTGGCATCCTGGTGCTCTGGGAGGCTGAGGCAGGAGGATGGCAATTTAGTGACTTAGCAAAACTCTGCCTCAAAAGAA